AACCTGTGTTGCGATGTGGTCATCACTTACGATCAACACGAAACAATATCGTWTTATTCCGACGATGAGAAACAGCCAGCGCTGCGATATGTCCAAGGTTAGTCTAAAAACCACAAACAATGAGGCGTCTTTTTGATAACTTTTTGGATTTTTATCTCCCGATAGAGTTCTAACATGTGTGACTTGAGCCACGAAGTCGCGATTCAATTCACGCGGAAAATAAATTCGTCKCACAACGTGAAGATTATTTTCGTACAGTTATATTACCAAACACATTGTTTTCTATAATCGTCATAATGTTTATGTCTTACAATTGAACATATATAATAGTCACTTTCCTCGTATTTATTATACAATAAATAATCATTTTTTTATACGCAAGTTGTTCGTTCAACGAATTCCACATGTACAGMGTTCAMTGCAAACTAGACCAGTCTTTTGTCTTTTTGCATTGAATTCTGGACTCGTCCAATGATGTGTTTTCGTGGCGTTTTCATTGTTCTTCGTCTACAATAAAACCAACGGAAATGAATAAACCCTCGATCTTCCACTCTAGCGTACTACCGAAATGAGGTACTTAAAAAATTGTCTATTATTGATAGTTCATAGGGAAGAATAGAAATAAAGGTCATTTGGAACCATCGTTCAATTTATTATCGCCATTTATTGCGAAAGTAAAATGAGTAAATGAATCAGTTACTGGAAGTAATAGCATAGTACAGTCTTTTATTCATTTTTTTAAGTGAAAACAACTTGTTCTATCTTATTTTTATATATATCTCTATTTTTATCATTTTTGGCTCCGCAGACGTCTGTTTTTGATAGGAAACTCTATGACAAGAATGTTTTCTAACCAAAATGGATTTTTTGTCGGTCAACATGATGGCGATGTAATTAGATTTGTGCAAGGCCTGCAGCTAACCTGGCGCCTTAGATCCTTAATACCACGTAATGTACTTGGGATATACAGTAAGGTTACGGATTATTTAGCACCTCTTTATCATGTGTATGTCYACACGATCACAAAAACGCACGCTTCCAAACTGTCTGAAATACATTTAGAGCTTTACATTGCATTTGAGAAAGTTTTCGAGTCTTTCCATTGACAACAAGCCTTTGATTATTGTTGATCGTTATTAGACATGGATAAGACAGCCAAGATACAGATATGGATGGTTATCTGTACGATAAGATATAAATGACACGCAAGCTGTCATCGTATGCGAGCAAGAATTTATTTTTATCCCTTTGAAGAAAGAAAAGTAAACTAAGTTATGTTTTGCACATATTTGGCTTGAGTCAGTCATCACAATTACTAGAAATATCAACAATAAAACAACAAGACCAATGATCCAATATTAGTTGTAACAACTAATATAAGTCCTACAACAATCAAAATCAGAAAAAACTCATGAAAAATTTTGTTAGAACAACTGAAAGAACTWTTAATAACGTCTATATTAACAGAAATCACAGAAATAWCTACAGCAACAAACGCTATAGCTAAAACTTGTAATTCTCCATGAACGAGTGTCCACCAAATTGTGCGAATCTGCTCGTATTCATTCGTAAGTTATATTTCTTTTTCTTTTTCGAATTCACAAACCAACAAAACCTAAAAGCTGCTTCACTTTTTTGTTCGACATTTCTTTGAATGGAATATTGCATGATGTCCAGAGACATCATGTCTCGATGTCGTGTTCAGCTATCTTGACCGCAATAGTAGTGGGTGTTTAGATTACTGGTATCTTTTTTATTGTTGGAACAAAGTTTCAGTTTTCCAGGTCGTTGATATACTAATTGTATACTTGATATCTGGCCAATCAGCGTACGCTCACAGGTAAACGACCGGCCGGTTTTAGTATGAAAAGCTGTATAGTAAACACGTGTTATCGGATCRGTAATTTTATTAATGCACTTTGATATAATCTAACAACGTAAGGTCGTTATTTTTTGACGTTTCTGTATTTTCAACCTATAAACAAGAATATAATTCACTAAGGACGATAGATTGCCAATTTGGCTGTCGAACTACGGACTCGTGATCAACAAGTGCAAGTTGTCATTGCACATAAAAAGCGCTTCAAGGATTGACAATCATATCTTAATGAGAAGATATCAGTATCCACTAAGATAGAGTTAAGACATTATCCCTTGTTCTGATAAACAGCAACTTGCAGTGGCGAAAAGGGCGGCTTTTGCCCTGAGGGACAACATAAACTGCCCGGCGGGCTCGTTTGTTGTGACATCAATGAATACTATAAATACAGAAGGAAAAATAYTACTCACTCATAAGCATTAAAGCTGTGGATTCAACATGTACTCTATCCGGACCAACCCCGTCGCTCATTCAAGTACACTGTCAGCCTTGATAACTTGTAAAGTAACRAGCTTCTTGATGAAACCTGTAGTCAGGAAATCCGCAAACATCGTGGTCGACAACAAAGGTAAACTTSCCCAGAACGTAARGGAAACTGAGATAAGACTGTTAGAATTGAAAGATTTGGAAGGAAATGTCGACAGTTGTTTACCGAGGTTTTTCAATTTTGAACAAAATTTTCAGATGAATTCACTATAGATGCAGAACAGTTTTTCAGATCGAATATTTAACGTGATTGATTGGGTTTCATGTCAGTGAACTAAGCAGTTTTTTAACAGGAATAACGGGAATAACTATTACAGGAATAACTTTTTCCATGATGATAAAATCAAAAACACATACGAAGATTCAAAACAGGACCCTCCCATCAATCATGGAGTCTACGTAGATTGAAACTGCTCCTTACAAGGAATTTCCGTAATTCGTCCATATTTGTCCGACCACGCCCAATGCAAAAAATCTATTTCTTTGGAATTTCACCAAATATTTTGTTTTTAAAACGCCTGATATTTATGATCCATCATAGAATGAGCATTCTGTTGGTGTCAGGGTCTAAGCTTTCTAATGTAAGCAATAGAATGGTATAAAGGAAATGGTCTCATTCCTTCGTTATCTTAGACGCATCTTTAAAACAATACTGCTGGATAGCTTGTAATGATAGAAACACAGTTTCTTATGAGTGTAAACTTATCGCCGGTCATTTCGCTGCGTAGCAAAGTCACAGCTACCTTTTAAGAGTCACATAGAAATGTTGAAGGAAATTTTGGCGATCTCGAGTTGCGAAACAATTTGTCTATCTCATTCTTTTCGTTAGAAACTTGTTTTTCGTGGAGMAGTAGTTCGTCTAAGTCACTGCCAACATTGCGGTCGGATAACACTCTCAACAAAGTCCTGTTGTTATTGCTGTAATCAACCACTTCCTCTTCTATCTCGTCAATCATAAATCATTTTTACTTTGGCAATCACACCCTACGGCAGAAGTTGAATATATTCAGTACCAGCACTCCAAGTACGATTTAACACAGGGATCCCAGTATGAGTACGTAGTGATTCAAGTTTAATATTTCAATATTTCTTATGTCGTTCTGTTTACGTCATAATGTTGGTCTTGTGTTATGATTATGATCTTCATACTAGGAACATMATGATTAAGAAAAACCCGTTTGGAGTGCAACGAGTCGTTTACGTCACAACTTTCTTACATTGCCTCATGTATATACCATACTTTTGAAATACATAGTCTTACATATCACAGTGTAATCAGAGCTCACATAAAACATAAAGCAACACAGACATTAATTGTTTTACCATAGTAATGTAGTGTTTGTTCTRTGATACTGTACACTGCTATCAGTTACTGGATAATGTACTTAATTAATGCATCCGATATCATGAACAATACGATAATTAATCATGTCACAAAGTAAAAACATCGCTGATTACGGCTATCAATTATGCTTGGTAATAGACACTTTACACAGATTAATACAAAACAACCTCGAGTGTTATATCAGCAATATTACAGGGTGGATTACAACTGATATTGAACTGCTTCACTATCGATTACTAGTAAGTTCTAGGAACCATTCGTATGACACTATCATCTCTCATGGTAATAGTAGAATCCAGTACAATCTGATAGTAGGTGTACTACAATAATCTTGCTGTTACTTACTAAGCTCTAATCTAGAGTGTCATATCTGTAATATCACAGATATACTACACCTGATATTGTCTCGATATTGCATGGTAATTTTAGGCTATTATGCTGTCTTTCAAACGGAAATACCTTATATAGGCTGGGTGGTCTAAAGACTAATATTTTGATTGCTTCAGGCGTGTTGTGTGTATTGTTACGTTTTAACTCAATWGTTCTTCAAAGTTTAAAAGCGATTTTGATCCAAGAAAATCAATTCCACACTGAATAACATTGTCATTTTCTTTACAATATCTCCGATAAAAGTAAAAGGCGTACATTTGTCAGCGTGCATATAGATAGAAAACTTTAATAGGAAATCAAGGTTACTTTAGGTGTTTCCTTTCAGCAGAGTAAGATTAGAGGAACATATCACATTATAAACCCCTCTAATCTGTCTATACATGGTTCGTGTTCTTATGCCCGCCCGTCTTAATTAATCCTGAGTACGATCTTTGTACAAAAAGCTATCAGGCTTTAGGTCAGGCTTTAGGTAGACTATTACACTAGACGTGCCATGATCAAAGGGCGGAATTCTGAAGAATCCCCATGGCTATTGTAGCTTGTTAAATCAATATAAAGCAAATATCGAGAACGAAATCAGTATAGCTCCATGCATTTAAATATAACTATAACTCGGAAAAAAAAATATATATATACTATAACCAAGGTGGGAAAAGGAACCCGTGCCTATTGTATATATTACTATCAATAAAACAGCGATATTAGTATTACGGATTTGATAATCAATTAAGATATTATTAGGGCTTATTGATAAGTAAATGATAACTAATATAATGAAGAGCAAAAGTATTAATGTATTCGTTAAAAAAATAACAATTAATATCGATTCGGTAATAATAATGACGACAATCAATGATGATGACGATGATAATTAGTTTTGATGGTGATAATAATAATTATTGATAACTATTAATGATGATATGGATATTATAACATAAAATACGTATCCTTCAGGGTTTCTTACTGTGACAATGTTACTAGCCAGTAGTAGGCTGCCAGACGCATGCATGATAAGCGTGTTGCAACGTATGAATGTCCATTTCGAGTGTTCGAGTGGTTTCTSCTAGTAAAAAGGGCGTTCGGTATGAACTCATCGATCTAATCGGTTTTTCCAAAAGAAAGAAGGATCTCTTTGTGTTTACTCTATGTTACTAGCTGTCAACAATTACATTTGCTATTCCCATTAGTACTTCAGGTTACAATAAGCTTGACTGTTATCATTCTTTTACACCTTAGATAAATTTAATACATTAGTCGAGTTGTGTTCCCTTCAACCTAWCGATACAATTATCACAAAGTGGTTTGCCAAAGGGATGAAATTACCACGTGTTTTGCTCCTTCAGGAACAACGTGACTAACTGGCCTTGATAAGGAAGTTTATCTTTATTTTGTAATATATAGTTTGCCCTTATTAGTAGAGTAGGTCTTCTGGTCCATTATAGGAGAACTCAGGTACAGGAAATAGACCTTTCTCTTGCCTAGGGGCCACAGTGCATTCCCTTGCTGTGTATTACCGTAAAAATAGTGCTAACCCTAAAGCCCTGACGTCATAGAGCTATTGATTTGTCTTATCTTGGCCTTAATGACGTCATAAGCTAATTATATTTTTCCTTCTCCTGTTCATTTATCGAATACTACGTAAGCAAACTGATAAACAAAGGTATAACGTCATGGGGTRTTGTATCACGGTGAATGATACAACGCAACTCCACACGACTTCAATAACCTCCAGTAATTTATATATTGTATTAGTCCTCAACCAGAGTTTCTTTAAACCGTTCTACTGGTAATATTAAGTTCATTTCGAATCTTTGATCACAGGTTTTGCAGAAACCTTTGCCTAAATATTCAAGTTTTCGAATCATCGATCGACACTTCGTGTCCTGGTTTTCTTATTTCATTCCGTACGTTTTCAAGCTTAATAGGCATAGTGATGGGAACATGTCATACCCGGAAGTATAAACGTCCCGGAAATCAAGAAAACAAAATTGAAGTACAGGGAAATGACACTCTCCACCCATGTTGTGGTCAGGTGCTCGTGGTACGGAAACACCGACCTAAAAAACGCAGGATAACCGCTCTGAAACTTTTAACAAGTGTTTACGCTTCGAGAGAGGTCTTATTTCTGAGTTTTACAACTTATAGCTATCACAGAGCAACCTCCGGTAAAACGAGTGCATGAAGACGGCAACGTGTTTCTGCAAGTATTTTAATAAAGATTGGTAGCAAAACGTTGCTAATCCAGCTTTAACAGAGACAAACATGACATGTCAGGCAGAGCACACAGCGTTGTCAGTTATAATCATGAAAATGATGAATAAGCAATATGGCATACTTTAAATCCGATATTTTGTAAATAGTAATCAGAGAGCTTAATTAGGTTATATGTAATGGCCATCTCATCATAGGACCTCCAGGGCTGTTTGTTTGAAAAACCCTTCCAAGAAACTACTGAAATCAACAAATGYAGCTATTGCAATGTCAAAATGACATTCTAGAACGATTGATCATTGGATTTAAAGGAATGTACTCGACCCGGGAACCAACTTAAAATAAGTGTCTATTTATAGCCGGTAACAGCCGTTCTTCGCATTGTTGTATCGCTCTACTCGAGAGTAATACCGATAAGACACAGCTTATATTTGTACAATGTTTCTAGTCTAGGTAACAAAGTAACAATGTCCTTCATCCACTTTTAACTTATCAGGAAATCTTAGTGACATTTAATACTACTCCTTGGTCTTTAGACTCAATCATATAAARATGTCAAAGTTTCTACATCAAGACGGGAGCAAAGCGTTAAGTGCGCTTCAACAATCAATCTAACCAATGSCTTGGCAATACAAAAATTGCAGACCGGAAGTGTACAATTAATATCTCCCGATCGTCCACTAGGGTGTGGSCCGCTACGTAATACCCCACCCAATAGTGACCTACAGTCAGTATTCGTCTAGGCCTTTCACCGTAGTTCTTTATGATAGTCTAGACTSCTTTAGGTTRCGAACSTTAACAAGGCGATCATGAGGATTTTTACTCGTCTCCGACCTTCGATTCCAAGACGATACTCCGTTAGTCATTACAGTGTGATGGGATTGGTGAGATACACAAGCAATATTACTGACGGTAAACAGTTTATATTCAATCGTTTGGATGTTGCGTATTTTGATTTGTAACATGCGTGCATTTCTGTATCGTGATTCTCAACCCCCCATCTTTTCGTTACAAAAGTTCAGCTGAACTCGTCACGAAAGCTTTTCCTTGCGTGATTGAGCAAGTAATTTAAGTTATGCTCGTTTAAAAACTTTTATAACGACGTTTTTGGAATTGTTATCGACAGAAATGGAACAAKCTAGCGAAAGGAGTTCAAATAGCAATTCTGACAATTCCGTCATGTTTTTCTGCATTTCATTTAGTTTATGACATAGTTTTACTTACATCAAAACCAGGATCTCGTTGTATTTCCTTCCCGGCGTGTTTTGTACGTGGGTCAACSTGCGGTGATGATGGTCGAATTAAACTGCAAAACGGAAACAAAATATTTGGTGGGGTTAATTAATTATCCACGTAATACCTACGACTAAACGCTATGTCACTAGGCCTCTTTGATGGAAAACCTAGAATTCAGCCCGAGAAAGGAATTGTTAAATGAAATTAAATCTAGAGGTGTAGTGATACCAGTCAATCATTTAGTGAAGTTCTCCATCGTATTTCACGGTTTTGTCACCTGAACTTTTATTTTTTTGCTTTTTCTTTCTTTCTTTTAAAAATCTTTTGTCTTGTTTAATTTTTGCTAGCAAGTGGTATTTAGTAAAATGTAGAATCAGTCTTTGCAGTTTAAAATCAGAATGAATTAAACGGGTTTGAAAAAAGCAAGATGAGAGATTAGACTGACCTCAAACTGTCTTTTTACATTGCGTATGATTCTTCTTTTGTAGCGTCATATATGATTTCAATATTTATTTTTTATGATGTAGAAAATGGTTAGGAAATAGCGCATAGCTAAGTTTAGAACTCTAGAACCCGGCAATGCACTTTATCAACAGCCGTGCGATATTGACCTAGTTAGTGCGATATATGTCCTTTTTCCATGCAGAATTATATGCATGCACATTTTATTGTAGTTTTGTTTTATCAACTAAATCAGAGAATGCCAGAAAAACTAGCTAGAAAAACGTCCCTCAAATACTACACAAGGATACATTTSAGAATGATTGACAGTTTGTCAGTATCCGATAGAGTTCGTCACCAGTCTCTTCTTCGTGCCGATAACTGAGTTCGGTCTCCGTTGAACTATTTTTCTTCTGGGCAAACATCGCAAACATAAACGTTTCAAGTAGTCTCCAGCAAGCGTTCTTGTAATACGTGTTCGATGGGAGATGGTTGTGGCTGATCACACGGACAGGCCAAGGCAACGACGAGGCAAAATGCTGCAGCGATTGCTTGAGCGTAAGAGCAAAACTAAGGCGTCTGTCAGAGGTAAATATGCCACAAAGTTTCGCAGTATTTACAATAACAGTTTTTTGTGTGCAATCTTGAGTTTATGCGTCTAAAAGTCACGATGTTTGCGATGTGACATTAAGCTGTCTACAGACCAAATATTCAAGTCGATTTGAGTGTTTTTTCAGCCATTACCRTATTTATCACTCCTTGACGTTGCCGGGGACTTCGTGATGATATGCGCACATTTTCTAAACTCTTAAAATACTCAACTCTGTTCCTATACGCGGGGTTACTATTTGTCGTGATTGTYTCAATTTTGAAAGAATTTTTCCCTGGAAGGTTTGCCAAATCAGATGAGCGTAGAAATTTCTACGATCAGCGTGCACTCAGTCGACATTCCTGTACAGTCGTTTGTAGGTCATTTCGTTARGAATATTGATGGTATTTTGTATGTGATTACATATCAGACGTGACTTTACGTAGGAATTAATGGCCCGGGCATTACATGTATTTGATATATTACACAGATTCCGTGTTTCTTGGTCGATTGTTATGTTTTACCTAATAAAAGTTGTACTTTTAACAGGGGCGGAACTATTGGAACTATATTAACGGTTTGTAGGGGATGTATAGCGGTCAGTAAAAAGCAAACAGCACGGAGATTAAGTAGTCTCATTTGAATTAGAAAGCAAATAAAGGAAGAGGACGTTTTGTGGTAATCAAGATCCAAATATTATCTCGTCTCGCAGCGACTGCCCTCATTGAACTGTCCCTAAACACACTTCTTTGATTTTTAGACCGCATTTTTTAAGTCAAAACGACGCAGTAAAACGCGTAAAGTATTCTAGTTTTCTTTTAAATACATTCTACTTTACATTCCCTGTAATGATTTAACCAGAAAGACTGGGTCAGTAAGGTTTTACTGTCGGCCAAGGTAGCGATTGTAGTGATATGTCATGACATCGGTTTAAAGACGAATGGAATGACTAGTTGAGTCATGTAACTCAAGACGCACAGTAACCCTACTCGCATCATCAGCCACTTCGCTACTYRGAGTGATGTTGCGAAGTGGCTTTTGACACTCAGTTGTTATGATAGATATTTTTAATTGTCTTAGCCAAGCGCCATTAAATGTGCCAATTGAATTAAACCCATAGCCCGAGGATTTTGTTCTTTGCTAGACAATAATACATGGACGTCTTATAAAGAGCCGTTATGTCATTATTCATTCGTTAAGTGGTCGGTAGAGTGTCTTCGGGTGGGTTGAGTAATCACAATAATCGCACGGTTTGGATGGGCTTACAGCCGCTAAACTGTCGTGATCTACTAGAGCTTCATGAGTTTTCTGGAGTCGTGACCTTTATTTTGATGATACAAGTTTATCAGGATCGGCAATACAATTTATATGCATTTAATTAAACAAGCAGCTTTTTCSGAGTCACGGAATGTWTAACAAATRGCAGAAAGATATATTTGCACAAATAAATGCAGAAAACACTGAAGTATTTTTGATGAGCAATTTCCTGCATGTTGGTGAATGTGAAGTGGAAGGRTTTTGTAGTTTTCACTTTATGTGGTTTCCCGTTGGTTGAAACCATTCACAATTACAAGGGATCTTGAGTTCCTTGTAGAGGTCTTTTAGACCCACTGTGCGATACATAAGGTTRTTTTGATTGAATAGTCCGCCAAATACGCTYTGACAACACGCATCCTTTTGTGTTAACAAACCGTGAAATGACAGGCAAATAAACAAAATCACGGCAAGTCAAAACTCTYGCAAAYACGTCTCAAAAAMACCCATACAAATAATACAAACAGWTGAAATAAAAAGAAAATATTTTGTTTTCCTTCTGAAAATCTTTCAAAAGAATCTTGTGGTTCAAACAAATTCATGGYTGATTTAATACAGTTCAAAAATATACCGCTACTAAAAACGTCTCTTTTTTATTAAAATAGACCTATCAAAAATGCTGTGGTTTTTTATCAAGTTTCCAAATCCGTTTCGTGATGTTTTATAACGTTTGGAGGTCAAGTTGAGACCATTTTTGCGCCATCAAAGATCATGATAGGTCTTTGWAGTTTCTAAAATTATCGCGCAAGTGAAATGTCATCATTCCCAAAGGCAGATTATAGGACTTGATCTTAGGCAAGAGAAATCGCGAACTGCCGAGTGTCTGTTATCATAAAGATATATTCAAGAGGTCTCAATTGTGTGCAGCAGGAAGAAAAAAATTCAAAAAAAATAAAAATAAAAAAAAATATGCGCTCTTAGAGCGTTTACTCGTGTCCTATTGATAATCAATCAGTGTAATAGTACGAGAGGTTTTTTTTTTTTGTATTTTATGTTTGACAAGGTGAATATTAGCCTCTCTCACAGKAGYACTAAGAACACCTGTRAGAGAGGCTAGGTGAATATGAGAATATTTTTATATATATTTCAACCTAAGGGATTTCACAATTAACAAAATTATTCATTTTTTTGTAGAACTGGAAGCACTGGAAGCATGCTATTGGCTGAAAGCAGCAGGATTTCCTCARTATGCCCAATCATATGAAGGTATTGTTAATGTCTGGCTTACACTATGTCAATACATTGAAGTGCATCCTTTACCAAATTATTCATTTCCTACCCTCTCTTTGTAATAAGAGCATTTAAATACATTTTCCTAAGAGATGATCTTGGTCTTCCCCCGATCTTGGTCTTCCTCCAAGTCTGATTTTTCTCCCTCAGTCAAAATTAACTGCAGAGAATACTGTACATTTTTTGAACATGGACGCCCAAGCTACATTTATAATAATCTTGAAGTCAATAAAAGGTTCTCCTGTTTTATACAAACCACACTTAACAAAAGTGCATCTTCACAATAATGATTCTTATTTTCTTATTTTCAGAGGGAAGATTTCCAATAGACATTGCTACAGTTATAAAAGAACATGACTTTCTGGACGAAGACTCATTGCAATCTCTGTACAGGTATTCAGCATTGTCATGAGTTACATTATGGAGTCTTATATACTGTAAACAATTGAAATCAATGTTTTATCACATCAAATGTAACAAGAAAGATTTAAACATTTATTAAGACTCATTGATAGTACTGCACACTGCCACAATAGTATTACCAAACAAATCATTTCACTGGACATAGAACTTTTATCTTGTACACTGTACATTGCATGGTCTTAAATTATCACTGGAATTCTGCATTCACAAACCTCAAATGCTCTCTCAGTATATTATATATGCTTGATAAATGAACTTTAATAATAATAATATTTTTTGTCTTTTTTTTTTTTGCAGGAGGCTTCAAACTCTTAATCACTGTTCTAAGCTAAACCTACACATCAAGGTGAAAATATAGATCATGTTATCAATTAAGTTAATCATTATTAGCMATGATATATTGAGGCCGATTTACACCATGCCACTTGGCGCACGCAGTGAATATCAGCCTTGAGTGAGTCTGCATTTAAGTTGACCCAAGTCGGCAGAGCAGTTGCTGATTAATGTCTTTTTTTATTGCCACATCCGATTATTATACACCTACTTGATCCATAAACAATAAGTGAAATATAATGAATTAAGAAAATATTACACTTAAACAAGCTTTCTTGGTACTTTGCGGTTAAAGCACAAATGTTTCAAGATATTAAATTTGTCAATAATACAACCTGTCTGGTATGAATCAACTAAGTTTATCACAAACATCTGTGAATTGTTATTTCGTTAAGTTGTCACAGCGAAAAGAACATTACTGTGTTTTACAGACAAGATGATATCTTATCATAGCAAAGAAAGATAATGCAATATGATAAAGATTATGAATGATCCATTTAAACACTTAACTACATCAAGATCTGATGACACATAGCAATCTCGTTGTGTGCACTCCACTTCTAATTGACACTTTTGAAGTCCATTAGGTTAATAAAATGAAGTCTGCAATGCTTTACTTGTTTTCTTAAGATTTTCTGATAATCAAGTGACATTTATCTTAATACTAGACTTTTCGTCAGGGCTGTAATTTATAGGTTAGCCAAGACAGTTGCCCCTGTAATAGTTCATTGATGAACATAAAATGATAGCCTAAGACTTGATTCAAAATGCATAACATTAATTGATATCTGATACAAAGTCATTTTGATTTTCATAAAGTTTAATAAAGTCCAGCTTTAATTCGATTATTATATTGACATTGAATTTAGAATTAATATTTTTGTCAAATGAGCTGATAATAGATGAAACACAGGAAATAATAATTAATTGATGAAATCTTTTAATTAATATGATTTATATTTTATTTTCCAAAATGAAAAAGACATAAAGCAAATTTTATCTATAATAATAATATAGCTCATTGTCTTTGTTTCTGTAGCGTATTGATGGTTATGATTCTGACGAAGAGGACCTCATAACACTGAGCTCTAGATGGAAGCTACAAAACAAGAAYCGCAACTGGGCAAGACGGAAAAGGTCAGCTTCTTCACAATTCAGTGGGAGTGATTCATCGACAATAGGCTCAAATTCTCACTCATCTTCTTCCTCACTGCGACAAAAGACAGGTTCAACCGACATACTAAATGAACGATGCATAAATTCAAATGTACGACAACTATCTCTGCAGGCAGTGGATAGAATATCATCTAACAAACTCATATCGCCTTACAATGGTTCTATGAATGAAGGAGGGATCAGATCAAGTTTATATGACAACATGCCAAGTGGCATATCACTAAGCACTCCATCAATTTCTAGTTGTTCTGGAAATAACGACAATGGTATAGACTCCAAAACATCCAGTAACAACAATAGGACCAAGTTAACKTCCAGTGATTTAGGACTTGCAGACACATTATCAGCAGATGAACTATCAGATTTAGAGGAAAATGATGATGTACCCTCAGACTTAATGAATATAAAGAATACAAGAATATACACTACACCAACAAAAAATGCTACTACAGAAGAACCTAGTTCCAATAGACATAAAGCATGTAGGTGGCATAGTTTTGAAAGGTCATCAAAACCAAATGTTCCCGTACGGTAAGTAGTGCAGTATTAAATTTGGATAACATAGTCCAGGAGTTCAAGGAAAGTTGTTCAATTTATTCAAAAACAATATTTGTGATCATTATAGATTGACTGATAGGTTTTGCTTGTTTGTCTTTTTTTTTACAGGTCAACAAAAATCAGTAAACTGTCAGCTGGGCAACTAGCTGTTCTACGAAAGTATTCATTGTTAAAAGTAACAGCATTAATAGAAAGATATACGCACTCTAACAGAGGAATGTGGAATTGGTAACTTAAGCTTTATTTATGAGATATTATTGATAAACCACTAACATATAGATATTCCAGGCCTAGGAACTCATCGTTAGTTTACAAAATTAATTTATTTATAATGGTGTGGCTGGCCAATGACATGGCTTGACTCACTTCTATTTGTTAGGTCAGGATAGGAAGACACCATTTCAAACTAACAAAATGATAAATGGATGAGCATGAAGCCATAAAAGGACCAGCTGCTAACTTAAAAATATATTACACAGTAATAGTGAATACAACTGTCTCCATTGACAAGATATATCAGTATTCTGTAGAAGCTAATTAACCTCAGCAGTAAACCATTACGTAATATTTGGGTGTTATTAATTGTTTCCTGATTGATTGATAAAACTGTCATTGTATTCTCAGGTCGTTTCCTCAGTTCCTGAAGAAATTCAAAACCCCTGATTATAAAGGTATAAACCRTTACATCATTTCTTTTGATGTTCAAGAATCGAGTTGAAATTGATTCTCTCTACAGATAAGAAAGTCTTTGGTGTTCCTATGTCTGTCATACTTCAACGGTCTGGTCAACCTTTACCGAAACCAATTCTTATAGCTATGAACTACTTACAGAGAACAGGTAAATTATTGTGTCACCTCATTTATGATGTGTGAATGACAAAATCTAATATATTATTAAGTAATGCTGTTTTATGTAAAACTTATAAAAATAATATGCCATAATTTGCACACTATTATTTTGAACACTCTGACTGCAGAACCTTTCAGCGTCAGTCTAAAACCTTAAGCTGAAGGTCTTTGCAATCAAAAGTGTAGAATCCCAAATTAATCAAAATGCTTTATTTCCTGTTATACTATATATTTCTTTATAGATATCATATTTATGTTGTGTATTCTTTAAAAAATCCAGGATTCAGCTCAGTTGGTATATTCAGGAAATCTGGTGGGAAGTCTCGGATCCACAACTTGAAGGAGATGTTGGAAGACAACCAAGGTAAAATGAATTTAGTGTGATGTAATAATTATACACGATGTACTTCAAGAAATAACCTGCCTCATATAGCAAATGTGAAACAAACCCTAAATTCTTGTGTCTTGCAAGTCTATAAGTAGCTTTGTGAAGCCACACTATCGCATTTATAAAAAAAATACACACTTCAGCTAAGACTGAAGCGCTAGAATGATCTTTCCTCACATGACTGTTACACAACCCAAGTAAATGAACCTTTTTTGTTTGTTTATCCAAGAAGTTACAGACTTCGAGGGAATGTCACCATTCGATTTAGCAGACATGCTTAAAGAATACTTCAGAGATCTTCCAGCTCCCATTTTAACATCCAAACTAGCAGAGACTTTTATTGCTATTTATAGTGGTAAGTGATTCATTTATGTTTGATATCATGTCCAGGTCTTTGCTGTTTTTTAAGTAAGAGCATAATATGTATAATAAGAAACGTAATGAATCTTTATATTATGTTTGAGTACATGATGACCCTATAGTACAATGCAGGGAGCACAGATTTGGTTCTGAAAGTGAATTTAAGTAAAATTGACTTAATATTTGTAYGAAGACTTGTCTTATCATGTTTTGGTGGGGTATTCAACTGCAATAATAAAATAGAAATTTCCAAGACTGAGGCTTAAAAAATTACATTCACAACATTTTTCAGGAACAATACACAGGARGCCCAGTAAATGAAAACAACTGACTGTTCAAGGGTTACTTCAGACAGACCAATAGACATATAGTATTATGAAACTTAACATTCAATTGGTTCTTTTGAATTATGGACTATGCTAACTTCTAAAAGCTTGGAAACCACTTAGCATTATATTGGATTATAACATTATAGATTAAATTACAAAATCATCACTTTATTAACAAATCCTTAGTGGTGGGTGGGCTAGGACAAGAACTCTGACCTCAGTCACAGTATGGTATCAACCAACTAACTTACTGTGAAGTGTAACACTTGCCTGTATGCACTAATTAGTTTTATGTGTGTTTAACAGGTGTGCATCTGTTGGCCATATGTTGACTGTTTATTCTGAAGTAATATATTTATTAAAAGTCAATTTTTAGTTYATCTGTAATTATTTTGTATGTAGATATCCCAGAGGAATTGCGAATTGAAGCTCTTCAAGGTGCTATTCTGTTGATGCCAGATGAAAACAGGGAAGCGCTRCAGACTCTCCTGCTATTTCTTAATGAGGTAGCTGCTAACTCTTCCCAGAACCAGGTGAGAAAACAGGAATACTGTATTCTCTTAAATCACAATTAAACAATAGTCACCTCTATTGCTATATCCTTCTGCTATGAAATAAAGTGTTTGCAATACAGTAAGAGGTTTCTTAAAATCAGCTTTTTCAATATGGATGATTTATCAAACCCCAGATAACAATAAACTAATACTTGCTTTTCTTGCAGATGAATGAGAAAAATCTTGGAGTTTGTTTTGCCCCTTCATTATTTCACTTGTGTGGCACCAAAGACGATCCATCTGCTCCCAAAAGACAAAAGAGAACGCCAATTAACAAAGCATCCAAAGAACTCAATGATAACTTGGTGTGTGTACTGACTGTCTTCTTCTTCAGCTTATTTTTGAATGCCAGTACCAGGGTCTCTTATCTAAACTAATCTTTGTGATTTTATTGTTTGTTCAGGCTGCCCAAGAATGTCTAACACAGATGATCCAAGAAGTAGATAGGATATTTACAGTAAGTTTGTTTTTGGCATTTAACATATAATGTCTTAACTTTTTATAAGTGCTCATGTGTCCACTTGAGTTTTGCGCATTAAATGATGTCAAGAGTGCCTCAAAAAGGACATAAAACTATAAAACTAAATAATAGTTTCAGTTCAAATTCTATAATATGTTCTAAATCTCAATTGAATTTTTTAAGGTCCCAGAAGACACTCTTATGAAAAGCAGATTTTCATTTATTGAACAAGGTGAACCTGTCACCCTGGACAAGCTTGGTCGCAACAAGTCAAACCCATCAGATGATTACAATACATATATTGAGTCTTGTATCAATGGATTGCTGAAGGTATGTACTGCTTGTGTTAATATACTCCTTATTTAATTGTTTATATTCCAGAAACATCTTGAAAGGAACAGTTGTTTTAAACCTATGCATTTAAGTAAAAGACTCTGGTTGTGAGTTCAATGATAGATAAAGTGCCTGTATGTTGTGAAAAGCACCAATATCGTATTTTGATGCAAAGGCATAATTTAATACTACATTTAGTAGACCAGGAACTGTGAACAATGTCATATGAAATGTAATTGTCCTACTTGCATCTTGCATTATGGTCAGGTTATTATGATAAAATGAATGAGGGCAGTTTTACCAATCATGGGGGATAACTTGTTTTGATTATAAATATTATTTACTTTGGTTTTGTAACTTGTAAGARTTTCCTTTATAATGACCCCTTTATTGATGATCATTTAAGGTGTGTAAACAGTATCTTTCATCACCAGGAAGCCAGAGACAAGTTCAAAGGTTGGGTGTCTCATCCTTGGCATGAAAGCCCTGTAGAAGTTTCATACAAGAAGCTCCGTGATGGATGTCCTCTTAGACTATGGAGAGGCGTTGTGGAAATTCAGGCTTCACCCCAGGATATTCTCAAGAGAATCACAGATGAAAGGTAAAATTGCTGGTTAATCACTCAATCTTAATCCCAAACAACCTTCTCTAATATTGTGCTAGATTGTAGTCATTTTGAGTTGACTTTTCAGTCTTAAAAAAGTTTTTCAGCCACCTCATCTCAAAAACAATTGATGAACATATTACCTTGTTAATCAGGCATCTCTGGGATGAGGATTTGGAGACCTGGGATGCTGTTGAACAGATTTCCAATGAGGTTGATGTGTTTCACTATGTTACACAATCAATGATTCTACAGCCTAAGAGGTCACATGTTGTTTTAAGGTAAGTAGAGTGAGTATGGGAACTAGTGTTTCCCATGAGGACAGGTGCTTTTAACATTGGGAGATGTAATAAATATAGATATATGCCATAAAAGCATCTCAAAGTAGTGTCTGAAAAGTCTTTTTCACTGTATAGTGTGCACACTGATCATTACCTATTATCACAGTGTTGGGCAGTTTTCCCTACAAAATAATATCTTTTTTTCATTTGGTGTTTGTGCTTGTACAAAGTATTATGAAACCAGACTTTAACCAATCTGATTGGATGTATTATCTCAAAATGTCTAGAAATATCTTGAAATTGAACACTGAGGTCTGTTAACATGGATTCCAATCCTCTAACTATCTTTATCATTGATATTTTATAACTTCAGGGCAAGAAGATCAAATCTAGATCATGGTTCATGTGTGTTGGTATGCACTTCAGTTAGCCATCAAGATGCACCAATGTCATCAGGAGTAGAGGCCATTGTCTTGGCTCAAAGATATTTAATTGAACCAATAAGTCCTGGCCTGTCAAAGCTTACCTACATTACAAGAGTTGATCAACGGTATGAATGCTGTTAATGTTATAATTGGAACAACTTTTGGATTTTGTTTATACCACTTTTGGATAATTGGGTTTCCACTTTTTTACAAAGAGRGTAATTCTTTTATTATCCTCAGGGGAAGAACACCTGATTACTACAAGAAGATAGGCCCAGTGTGTGCAGCAGCGGTTTCCAAGATCAAAGACTCTTTTATCATAGGTTCTGATGGTCCAGAAACTAAAGTTTGATGTTAAACTTGATTGATCGGACCATTAATTTAGAAAGAACGTTTTATAGYAAGACATATTGGTTATACAAGAGCATATTCTTTGATAGGAACTGTTTCCCTTTGAAGAGATTTCTCCAAAATGTACCAATTGAAATCGGTATATTTTCACTCCAAAATAATGTGCATCTTACTTTAACTGTCTTATCAGTGTGGGSTAAATAAATCATATTTTATTAAGATAGATTGTATAAAATTCTTATGGAAACCATTCACCTCTATTATCATAGTGATTTTAACAATTTATACAATTTCAGATGTAAAAGACATTTATAAGGTTTAATTTGTTACAAAATAAATGCCATTTATATTTCGATTGTGGATATGGATAAATAATCATRYGATTTGCAGTGTTCACAAACAAATGCCAACAATATTTCCTTTRATATTTTGGAAACAACATCACAGAAACCCATTGACAGAGCTGCCTTTTATATAACAAAGTGATGAGGTCAATGTAGTACCATTGATATTATGTGGTTACACCTCGCCAACTGAAGATTTATGAAAYTTTTTGTGTCTTAATTTATATAAATTAACATCAAAATGGAAATTCCATCTAAATATTAATAAATACACTCATGGAAACTACATTGAAACATTGCTTTTGACCAGAATTTTTACTAGCAATACAATAGTATTCTTTTCTAAGTAATTTTTCTGTAATAATATAATATATACATATCGATTCCATCACTTAGAACAATTCAACTTTGTAAATAATATTTTTCAAGATAACTAAATAAAAAAAACTSATATGAAATGAACTTTGTGGTCACAGACTTTGAAAGCTGTTTTATATAACCGTGATCACGTCCAAGATCCATCTGCCGAAACAATTGCACATAGTTTCATTATCTGTTCAACAAAATAGCAAAATACCAAGTCTTGGCTTATTGATATATAAGCCACATTTGCCCTGTATGTGAACACACTTTCAACTTATTCTTTACTGCACCGACTAATTATATTCATGAAGTATTGCTTTATCAAGTTGACTAACCCATACATCTACTCAATTAAATAAGGATTATCTAGTCTATTGGATAAGTTTACACTCCTAAAAGATTCATATCACGTTTGAAGTAACCTTTACAAAAGTATTGAATAATGGATACATACGCGTTATGTGCTCAACAAATGGACTTCAAATCTGAAAGGACTCGCTGTCAAAGGCTCGGCACGAGGCGAAGCCGAATAAATTATTGATAGTAGATGTTGTAAATTAGAAGTAAACATTCTGAGTAAAATCACAGCTAAAGCAGACTTGTATCCCGAAAACAAATTGTCATGAAGGTGTAACATACAGGCAACACAAAGGTGTCTCACGTTCCCCGGAAGTAGTGTCGACATGATGGTACTCGTGGATTTCTGGCGGGAATTTTCCTTAATTTGATTTTATCACTTGTTTTGGGGGTCTAAAACGTGAAGGATTTGTTATATCTTTATAAACGTCTATAAAACACTAAAAGAAATATTTTAATGAATAATTCCTGAAATATTTGATTCTTAAGAGCATCTCGCGACGTGATCATAACGCTATAAAATCCTCCGCCTTYCSTYTACTCTGATTTTTTWWWAATCTATAAACCACTTAATAAACTTGGATATTCCAGTTTCAGCAGAAATCTTAGGGTGAATGGACTAGTGAAAGCCATAAATGACCCCTCACGGAGACAAAGTTTCACTGATCGGCGTTGTTTCGCTTTCACGTTATGAATGAAATGGCCGCACGTGAATCAGAGGAATTCTTCTTTGCAATATTGTACTTCTAAACTAATTGATGTGGGAGTTACACTGTCCCTGAAAACTGGGAAATGCAAACAATCGATAATATCAATCGTCTTCATTATAGTAAAAACGATTAGCAGTGAAGAAGCGCTGGTATCCGGCTACGAAGATAAACTTCGCCATTTGCATATTTTTTCTGGAAAGACACATTTACATGATAAATGATACGAACTCTTGAAGACCACAGACAGGGACAGTCGAGACATTATTTTAACCAGTCGTAGAAGAATGATTTCCAACCAAACACCTTTCACTGGCATACCATGGCGTACGGCGTGGAAGTAATGGGAAGTCACCTACATAACCTTTCCTAAAATCGTTCATGCATAAGTAGCATGGAATGTTAACAAACGTCTAAATAGTCTGACAGAAGCCGTGAAATGTTATAAAGACTTGTTTACAACGGAATTACATAAGACGTGTTCAACTTGCTGATGTTAGCTGACCAACTGTTCATTTACCAAAGGTAAGAAAACACTTTTTTGCTCTATGGCTGCATCAATCCGCAGTATCYGGTGTTTCTTAATGGTGAATTGTGCTCTTTTTAATATGGACTATACCTTTTTTTATGTGATAAAGCACTACTACAGACTACTTATAGCCTCGATCAGTTCTATTTGTCATTGGGTTGGAATAGTGTTAGTTCATTAATATTAGTATTTTTTTACATCATCAATCAATCGATTCTTCCCTTATGTATTAATTTGTCATTAATCAAAATCACTTCTCCACCAGATATCATTACGCAGGGTTCCATAATATCAGAAAGATTTATGAACGTTTATCCATGTGGGATCTACTGTTCATTTTAATAAAAGATATTTGAATATGCGCAGTACATCAATTTTCGGTGTCAGATCCATTTTAAGTTAACATAACATTATACTGAAGGACTCAAAAAAGAGCAAAAAGTGTGTCGAGTTGGTGCACATACAATTTACTAATATCTAACTGTCATTTTCCTTCTGTTAATTCAAAGACTAAAGGTTTCGTGTATCGCTAAGGACGTTGAGAGACGTCCTACTAAGATCAAGAAACAACGGGCCGCTAAATACCATGGGTAATATTAACACCGCAATTGATTTTTTACATGTTAAACCACATCAATCGCTCTTTACCGCTCAAAAATGCTTAATTCACGTCACTTCCGATAAGATAAGAAACGTGCGATTTCTTCTGTAATGAAACCACACTGAAGAAATACTCACTGGAATACCTTCAACATTTACCCCCCTCGATAAGGGATATTTAGGCATCAAATAAGTTCCGTGATAACAGCTAGTGACGTAATTGAACTCTTATGGAAACTACTGACAAATATGACCTTTGCCTGCAATATTGCTGCGGCTCAAAAGCAATACAATTGTTGAATCGATGTTTTGAGTTTATAGTTATAAAATAATCCAAAGCATCATGCTGAGATAGCTCCATCATGACTGACAACACAAATCATGTCCCGCTTTCGGTTTTATGACAAAAGAGCTCAGTGTGTCCTTTCAATCTGATTGGTCGTCTGACCTATGTTTTCATCAGCAATCTATTTAACATGCAAAAAAGGTCTATGTRCAGTWAACACCGAGAGCACGAAASTTGAACCAAATCAAGAAATATATTTTGTCAATCGTACAAAGCACAGCTATTATTGTGACTAATGTCTCGGCTCCGATGATTGACAATGTTTATTGGGTGATATTTAAAAGGTATCATGGGCCAATGACGGATGACGGTGTAATCCCTCATTAAGCGGCAAATGAAAACTCTTATCAACATAATTTCTGTTCTAGACACTTAAAAGTGACGCACAAAGCCGAAGCTTGCTTGGTCGGTCTTACTACCGACMAGCGCCGACAAGCCCAGCTAGCAGTCAACACACCAATTTGGTGCTGCAGCAGAACACTGATGCCTTGTGGAGAATGGTCGTAATGGAGAACGTGTACGTAGGTGAAGAGATGGGACGCAAGGGAGTCTCAAGAAATCGCACGTTTTCTGAAGGTATTAACACTCTATTACCCAGCATACAACAGACATATCCTTCGCCAGTAGATATCGGCATATTATASACTTTTCTGGTCCATCCCTTGTACAAAAACCGCCTTCATGTCCATGCATAGGTATCAGCTATTTTCGCCACTTTAATTGAATTTTGTTGCTAATCTTGTTGACTTAAGTTGTGAAAATAATCATCGAATGTTCGATGTGTGGTGGTTCACACACAATACGACCACAATCCGACACAAATCATCAGAAGTGGATAACTGACAGAAGCTCAGCCCAACTCCCGATAGACAAGAAAAAGTCGTGGAAGGATTTTTGGGACCGGACTCCCTTATTTACCTAACGAATCGACCTTCGCAAAATGGCGGTCTGGGATTTATGTTAAGTAAATTAAGACGCGAATGATGTCAAAGATTGTAAAACTCTTGGGGCAGATCGCCAAGAGAACCCCGAGCCTTTCTCACCAAGTGGTTTCATTGATTTTCATGTTCATTGTTGAGAAAAGGTCAGTTGGCTGGCAGTGAGATAAACCGTACCGGGACAAGTCGAATGCATAACTTCGGGCTGTTTTACTGATCAAACTCTCAACGATGTTGGTCCAGTAATACTTCCAGCTTCAGTTCTGAGATGCTCATTTGGATTGGTCACATGACAAAAACGACAATGATAACATGCCTTGTACTGCAGCAGGGATAGTACCAAAGCCTGACACTAGGACTGAATCCGTCATGCAAAAATCAAATTGCTCGATAATCTATTCAAATGCCTGTTGTTGTTTTTTTTTTCATAACAAGTGAAAAAGGAACAAAGGAGAAAAATGGAGAGCTTTTCACAAACAGTAGCTGTTTCGTTTTTCATAAGTAAAGCTCTCCCAATGTGACGTTTACTTTAAATTTGATTGATTTGTCATGTAAAAACTAAAAGAAGGTTAAGAAAGTTGTACTGTGGTTATGCAATCACCAACAATGGATGTCACGCAAACAACCGATATCCGGGTACCGGGCAAAAGTATCGTGTGAAAGTACCGTACGTGTGTGTGGTTTTTTAAGCGTTGCGCACTAAGATCAAGTGCAACTTTTAACAGAATAAAGCACTTTACAATTTCACGTTAGAAATCCTATCGAGCTCTTTACAACTCTACAAAAACCAACTCTCCGAAAAGTTATGCCATTTGCGTTTGCTGATTTTTTTTTTTTTTTTTTTTTACTCTATTTTTTATTAAGCCCTGAGGCAAAGACGACAGAATAACGGTAAAATAACCAAAATACCAGAAGAGCAGATAGTGAGAATGAGACGTACCATAATTCTACTGAATACAAAATATAAAACAGAGACATGATGATCTGTAGAGACGTGCGGAGCTTTGAGTAGCATAATTGATAAAACACTTGTTTCTTACTTAAACGGTTGCAACAAACCATCCAAGCGAAGCAAGAACGTGAACTAGACCACTTGAAAGTAAGCAAAACGGCGCGCTTGTGGAATTGGACGACTGATTCACGATACCTGACCTTGCTCAAAAGCGTCAAAACAATTCACAACTGAAAAACTCTTTTAGAATTGTTTCATTTCTTTATAATGCTGTCCCTCTATTAATGCAGTTTCGCAATGAATAATACTTTACTTCTGAAGAAAATTGAGCATTTGACGTAACAGTCTATTCTTCTCCAACCAATCAGAACAGTGAATTTATTATTTTAATTAATAGGATCAAATCCAATGTCAATCATCGAGTCCACAGAAAATACAATTTGATTTAACCTGATGAAGCGCTTTGGTTGTTAATACAAGATTCATTAGCTTATTGTTCACTGGTAGTTTTATTAGTAGATCAAACTAGATATTAGTGAGTGAATAATTTAGGACTACATATTCTTAATGTCGATTGCGGGAGTTGATGGTGTTCGACAGTGCAGCCGCTGTGTGCGTACCACCGCTAGCCGTTCATGTAACCCTATCTACTACTGCCATGAGTGACAAGGATTTTCACAGACTTCACCGCAAATATTACACTACCAATGTGGAAAACGCCGGTAAGCCAGAGGATTGCGGTCAGTCCAACCCAGCAAAAATCAACGTTGAAGGACAAAAGTCTCCTAAATCAAGCCCAGGCAAGGACATGAGATTCTACATGGAATCCTTTATTTGTTACAAACCCGGCTGAATCGGAACTCTATTTAGTATTCTAGTACACTATCATACGATATTAATACAGGCTAGTGGTTGCCAATACCAGCAGGTACTTCAACAATGCTTATTATTATGAATTGTGTCTAGGTATGCAAAGCAAAGGATCGCAAAAGGAGAAATTCTTTGGAAAAGGATGGAGAAATCGACCTAAAGTTATAGCCAACGCTGGTAATGCACTCTGGTCACCGGACGCAAAGGTACGCATGATATTGATGTGCATCTCTTATGGATTCTTTATTTATTGTCTTGATTCATGAAATACTACAACCTAGAATCACTGAATAGAAAAACTTTGATGGATCGAGTAGTGCAGGCCATTCCAGTCGTTCTCCTCGTGTCGAATGTCAGCTAGCTGGCACCAATACGACTACTGTCAGCGCTGGCTTGTATCGTTTATTCAACCTTTAATAAACACCACGGTCTGTGACTGCTATAAGTGATGTATACGACGTATGGCGAGTCTAATGCCAATACAAACGTCCCGAGTACTCAAAACTCTAAATGTTATCTGATTGGCAATGAACATATGAGAAATCAAGATTCAAGATTCTATCAAAACAGGTTAATAAAAGCAGAAAGTGTCAAATCGTCAATTAAGCAGACACACAATTACTGCACTCGTAGATTAGCTTGGTGGTCGTGTAGTTTGCATTTTCAATTACCCTAAGTGATTTTCAATTAACTGATTTATTTTTTAAACGTTGTTTTTAATTTTGAAGGAAAACTACGTCTGGTCATCTGTTGGCGGTCGTAAAGTTTGTTTGGGGAGTTTTGACATCTGCGATCTCACAGAGCCAGAAAGAATTGCTTTACAACAAGTGGCGTTGTCAAAGCTCCGTAAACTCAATTTGCGCAGTCACGTCACGATCCCTAAGTGTAAGTGCTATTTATCAGTTCTCAACCTTTCCGCAATTTTCTTAATACGTCTTACGGAAGCAGGCCTGTCAAGCGTACCGGGATAGTACTACTACGTGATACACATAAGTCCTAAATTACAGCTTTTTCCATAGCGGAAAGCATTGTCAACCGAAAAATTTATGTGGAAGCCATGAGCTGGTCGATAGATTAGTGTACATACAAGATAATCCCATCAGGCAGAGAAGTTTGGCTTCTTAAATGCTAAATATAGCTCAGTTACCCCCTGAAGGCGTAATATTTATTTAGATGTTATCGAGAGTAAGTAGCGCGTAGACTGGGGGAGGAAGTTCATTTCCACGCTAGATATGTGAAAAACACTAGCTTGACGTTATAAAATGATTGCATAGGATAATGTGTACATTGTTGACGACATTACTTGCGAGAGTTCAACGAAGTGCTAATGCGTGGCAATGACCTCCATCCATAAATACAACTACGATGACAGCCAATCAGCAACGATCAACAAATTTATAGTTTAGAAACTATACAACACTAAACAAGAAAAACAAAAACTCGACAACATGGAGTATTTATTCCGTGATAACAAAGATAAAAAGGCTTATTCAAAAGAAAAATCTACCCAGTTCTTTGTTGCATCAAGAAATACTCTTATAGTGATTGTTTTGTGAATAAAAGACATTGTATTTTACATAAATTTTCTAAATTTGCAAAAAAATGGCTTTGAACAGAGAACAATACACTTGAAGGGGTAGTTAGTTTAATTGCCTTGAAAAGGAAGCTTGTTACTTCACAGAAGAAAAACACTCTTACTTTGACAGTGATTTTTAAAAATTTAAAAATTGTTTCCAAAGAAAACTAAATTACAAAAATGTTGACCTTGACAGACGTGATTATGACTAAACAATCCTTACACAATCACTGGAAAAAATAGCGCGCTTTAAAGGTTGTAAATTTGATGTATTTAWGATGTAAGTGTTCAAAATGATGTAAATTTCATGTAAATGACTTACAACATATTTCCATCAAATTTACAACCTTTAAAGCGCGCGACTTTTCCAGTGAATAGTAGACAAGAAAATAAAGAGATTTATAGTAACTTGGTTTTCTGTTTTTAGCTTCACGCTCTGACAAAAGGACATCATCTCTGAAAAGAGCATTGTCACTTAAAAGTCGATTGTCAATGGGTGCTTCTGATAAAGTTACTGGTTAGTATTCATAAGAAACAATGTGTTTTTCATTGTTTATTTGTAATCATGCCAATGCTTTGGAGATAATACCACTTGATTTTGTTCCAAAATTGTTAGAAATGTTGAAGTTCATGACCACCATGACTTTCTTTTATCATATTTTTCACCTTCCACAAGCTATTAACTAATGTCTGTTTGTTATTTTAGAATCTGCAGTGTTTGCAGTACCTTTGAGAAAGGCAGTGGCACAAAGCACCCCTGAAAACATGGACAAAAAGGTCAAAAAGGGAAGCCAAGAAGAAAGCCTTGATAGCAAAAGTGAGGGTGAAGAGGATCATAGAGAAAGGAGACATTCAGCCTCAAGTCTTAATCAACCATATCCAAAGACAACACTAGATGCTGGCACACAATCAAAGGGAAGCCTTAATGGCAACCGAGAACTTCCAGGTTCRCCAACCTGGAAATCAAGGTTAATAGATGCACTTACACTCAACTCTTCATCWGCATCAGCATCGTGTATTATTGATAGAGATGCAATGCTGATACCGCAACCACCACGTGTACCACCTATTGTAACCCAAGCAATAGAGCATTTAGAAAATTATGGTAAGTAATGGAATATTGGTCAATATACTTGTAGATCCTGACCTTGCTGTGCCAATTCAGGAAATAATACTGCATAGTCAAACTTTGATCAAACAATGATTTATTCAAAATGGAATCATACTGCACTGACATTCTGTTTTTATGCATTTTGCTCACAWAATAAAGCTAAAAAAACAATCAAACTTTGCAATATCATTGACACTAGAGATAGCTTGATGAAATGTCATTTTTTACAAAACCTGGCCTACAAATTATTATGATTTGTAAATAAAAAAAAGTTGTTTAGGAAATAATTTGTTACTGTCACCAACAAGTCAGTGGTCTCGTGTCTTGCATTAATTAGGTGAACAACTTTGCATAAAGAATGAGTGTTAGTGTGTCTAATATTAGATTTTACACAAGAATCACTTAGATTATTGTGTTTAATCAAATCAATTAATGTAGGAAGTTCAATATTTCACTTGTAATAAAAACGAAACCACAAGTTCATTATGTTATAAAAATAGTTGGCCTTGGCTGTAGAAGACAGCACTTAAAATACCAGCACAATATCACTTCATTGCCTATTCCTAAACACTTAACTGTTAATAGCGTCTTTGATTGATGACAACTCTTTAGACTTTTSTGATAAACTTATTAGAAGTAAATAAAACTGTATCTCTCGTGTTTTTTAATGAGTAAGAATAGTAACTTATTGGAACAGGGGTAAGCAGTTAAACCACAGAATTTAAATGTGAATAATATAATGTAAATAATTCTTCTAACCACTTCACAACMCATTATTACAATCCCTATGATTGATGACATGGTGACAGACATTTTGCAATATAAAACTGATTTKCAATGAAATGTTTTTAGGTCTTCATGTTTTAGGAATATTTCGAACTGGTGGATCAAAACGGAGAATGAAACAGGTATGCTAAAGATCATCTCTTTTAATGACAGTGGAATATCAAGTATGTGACTAATATATAAATTGGTCTCCTGCTAGTTCATTTTATAACAAATGATGAAATAATGGTTCTTTTTATAACCTAATTGATTATGATCTTCCCATTCCATACATGTTTTAACTACCATTAGTTTTAGACCATTAAAAAGTGCTTAAAATAAAATCCCTAAATCAATAACAAGTACGTGCAAGGCTAGCTATTTCCTCTCTTACTGAATTCTTGTTGAATTCCTTGATGAATGTCACTTGGATTAAGTGAAACTCTATCTGTTTTTGCACTCCCTTTTTAGTGTTCTATGTTTTGTTTTTTGATTAGTATTTCTTAAGAAAATAGATTGATCTGCAAGAACTTTAAATTGAATGCCACAACTTAAAATAGCATAAATAAGAAACATGAATATATGAAACTTATAACCTTATATTCACCTTATATTTATAGTGGATTTCCAAATATTAATATAAATATTAATATTTGGAAATCCACTATAAATATCACCTTTTTATCAATAGAATGATTTCTAGAAGATATATATCATCCTCAACATCATATTTTATCATCATCATTATTTATCCATATTTTATGTCTATTTTAGATGAGAGAACAATTTGACTCAGGTGAAAAAGCTCAGTTTTCTGCCGATGATAATCCTCATGATGTTGCAGCTTTATTCAAAGAATATTTTAGAGATTTACCTGAACCACTAATGACCAGAGAATTGTATGCTGCTTTCCTAGAAACCCAAGGTATTTCTTCCTAATCCACCTAACTACGTTAATCCTGAGGGAGGGAGGGTTAGGTTATCTCTGACTTTAACTATGAGGTCTATTGTCAGGGTAGTGACTTTATGTTCCCAAAAGTTGGTGATTAAAGTGACATTAAGGAAAGACATAAGAAATGTCATTTGATTTGGTTCCAAATTTGCTAACAATATGCGTATGGGATACTTTTGAGAAATAAGTTGCTTTAAAATTACACAGTGTAGCCACAGAAAACAGGCACTGTTAAATGGTGCAATTTCCCAACTACTTGCAATGGTCTTTAATTAACATTTTTGACTTGTAGGAATAGAAGATGAAAATCAGAGAAAAACTACTTTACAACTGCTCTGCTGTTTGCTTCCACCACCTAACAGGGATACTTTAAAAGCTTTGCTAGAATTTCTCTCTAAAGTGGACTTCTAYTCCGAAGATAAATTAGACGAGAATGCAATAGAGGTATGACGTCATAACCGCCATGGCGGATTTACATCACATCATTTTCTAACATTTCCCATATTTTTATAGTTTTGTACAATAATACATTATTATTATTATATTCTAACAAGGGCCTGATCATCATAAAGTTGAAATTTATAATATTAAAATTAATTAAAAGTTAGCAAGGATGTCTTGAAATTTGTGTGTCGATTCAGTTTGAGGTTTGCTTCGGTTTGCTGTCTTCATTTTTGAAGTGAATTTCAAAAGTTTTGAACTTATTTAGACTTCAAACATCTGATACGTTATTTAAAAAAATGTTATCTTCACTTACCGCCTTTGTGCAATGGTGTACTTTTTAAACAAAGCATTTTCTGTTCGTCTTCATGTACAACACCAACGCGCAAAATGTGATTCCCGCCTATTCCCGCCATTTTCTGAATACTATTGGACTTGTGGGAACCCTGTGCTACTTTCCGAAAATTCACGACGACTTCACGATGTTGTTTTTATTTTGTATTTCAGATACCGGGAAATAAAATGAACAGTCGTAATCTTGCCACYTTAATAGGTCCTAACATACTCCATAAGGTATTATTTTAACAATCATATAYATTGTGCACCCACTTTCTGACGACTTCAGACTCGTATCGGGATTTTCTTTTGATTTCTCTTTGTATGTGAATTTTCAGACAACAAAACTTCCYCAAGTGTTTTTATAGATGTGTTTTATCATAAAAGTCAAAGAGCACCATTCGCTCTCCATGTGGTTTTTCAAGTGAACATTGTTGTAATGACGTCTCCGTCGCAATGCCTATGATCAGCTATGATAGATGATGATGATAATTATTTTTCATTTGATTTTCTCTTTCTGTTGTTTGTGTTTTCAGGTCAAAGCCGGTCATAATCACGACTACGCAGTAGACGATCCTACGAGAGCTGAAGAACTGAGAGAAACAATCGATACMGTCCAAGAATTAATACTAAACTGGCAGGACCTATTTGTTGTAAGTCAATAACTTGTTCAGCTTTATTTTTATTCTTGATTTTTTTTAAATGACGATTGTATTCCGTTTATTTGTTCGCCGCATAAGCACTCCTGCGAGACTCAAATTAACTTTAATTTTTTGTGCATTTGCAGATAAAAGCGGATCTATACCATGAAATATATCAACACCTCCTGGAGAGTGAGCCTGAAATCCTGGATTATTTATTACGGAAAAAGACTCCTATAAGAATAAGGTAGACTTACTGAATTCACATGAGTCATGCATTTTAATCAGTACGAAGTCAATATATACATTTTGACGTTTAATTGATAACTGTCATTTTTATATGGCTGTTCGATTGTATCACCAGTTTATGTATATCTTTTTTCAGTGCTGGCGATGAAGAAGTTCTTGATGCCMCTAGTGTTTCGATACCTAAGGYTGAACCTCATCGTGTTCGCTGCCGCTCTGCTGGAGACAGTGATCGCCCACCTGTCATTATTCGTACTGGAAACGCACCTAATACCCGGCCTCCCCCTGATTACCACCAACATAGGCAACGTASCCATGGTTACACTATTAAATCAACACGGCATGTTGGACATACTCGAAGCCAGTCTCTSAACCGTGAGGAAGGCAATACATTAAGAAAGTATGCTCGTCAGACGTCAACTCCAGATTCAAACTTGTCTGCCAGTTTTAATGGTGTTATTCGAGCCCGACAAAAAACTCCACCCCTCCACCCCAGGGGAGCTTATARAGCAGGCACAAGTGAACCACCTTCTCCATCATTGTCGTCTTCATTATCACATTCTACATATTCCACACCGCCATCTTCTCCACCACTAACGCCGTACTTCTCCGCCGAATCTTCATGTTCGTCTCCGGTGTCAGTGTCATACTTGGGTAGCGAGGGACCWGTTGTTACCGAACTCGAGGAATTACTATGCGAGGTAGAGAAGGATTTGCAAAAAGAACGCGTAAACAATGCGATTCATGATTTGGACTTAGAAAATGATATCCCTGACTGGCAGTTAGAGCGATGGATACGGTGGGAAACACTAGCTCACACTCGAAATAGTAATACAGAAGCTATAGAGCAGGAAACACTAGTTTAGGCATTTTCAAAACAACTGTAGGGATAGCAAGGATAACATGCATGATTTTCGCGCGCTTTAAGCGATCTATCGTGGTAAATAAATGATTAATAGAGCTTAAAGTTGACACGGAAAATCGGCTTTAGTTAGAGCATAAATCGGCTTTAATTAGAGCATAGTTAGTAACTCTGTTTAGACGAAGAGATCTTCTTGGAAAATATAGGCAGGTAATAGAAACATATTTAACGAGTGTATAATTCGAYATGAACGAATGTGATCATACAACCTTAAAGACCTATCTACACTGTGTGTAGGCTGTAACGCCTTTATGGCGATTTTGACAATTATAGTCAAGTCCTTATGCTACACTATAGTTATTATCRGACAATTATTATCAGCGGACAGCACTTGAAGAGTTCGTTTAAAGCTGATAGAGGCAATAATAAGATTTTTAGACTAGGGCCAAAACAGTATATAGGAACTTCACATGGAATTCTTGCCCTGTAAACTATGCGACACACAAGCAAGCCTTTGTGGCACCTTTAAGAAGTATATTTATGTATATAYTGTACAAATKTAATTGTGATAATCAACAGCTATTAGATGTTCACTACCCTGACCCTCGAGATTCTCAGTCGGCATCTTCTCTCTAGTCCTCGATTTTTGGCGAGAAGCTTTGACATCCGAGCATAGAGCTTTCACTAGGGCTCTCAACGAATTAATCGTGGTCTAGACGGTACCTTTTCACCTCATTCGGAACGAATTCTCTGATTGGCTGAGTAGTTCTTAAAAAAAACAATGATACTTTTTGGCTTTTGTTTTCTTCTTTTGTAAAAGCCTATTGGAGAGGTGAAAGTTCGCTCGGTCTTGAGAGGAGTGATTGGAATTCTTTGGGGTCTTGGTAGATGGTCACATGTATACGCAGGGATCTCGACCAGGAATTATTTTTTATATAAAAGTATAGTGTACATTTTTATCATACAAACATAGCTTTTTTTAGAGATACCTGTGTTGTGAAGACATCATCTATGAAGGATACTGTATGCAATTTCATTCAAAAATGTGGTGCTCATCATTTTAATAGCTTTTTGCAATTGAAATCATATCAATCTCTGAAAACATCTTTGAACAGCACGGGAATTTCATTTGTTAGTGTATGGGTACGCACAGGAAAAAATGTGAAACTTTCCCATAAGGGACGGCCCATTAGATATTTGAGGGGGTGGCTGGGCAATAACTCCCCCCCAAAAAAAAATTGAGCAAGGGGGGGGGGGGTATAGCCCATGCATTTTCATCAAAAGTCGGTTATTTTTTGGCTCTTTTGAAGGGCTATAGCCCATGCATTTTCCGGCATTTTATCGACATATAATGTGTTAAAAACAATAACTTGAAATCAGACTAATGAAATAGAATAAACCTATAAATTCTGCAGAGAAAAAAACATTTAAAAAAGTAATATATTAAATGTTTTGAAACAAAAAAAAATCCTGCAAGCAAGTCAGTGTGTAAAAAAAAATTTCTTGCAAAACGCATGGTTGTAAAAAAAAATTCGAGCACACCCAAAATTGCCCAATTCAGCTCCCCCCCCCCCCCCCCCACCTCAAAAATCTAAAGTTCCGTCCCTAATCTGTATCGCCTGATATTTGAATATAGATGACATGCATTTCATTTTGGAAAATGGACCCGCTGTAGGACTTGCGGGAAAGGAGAGTCTAGTACAACTTGTATGCGCATGTCAGGCTAGTGACCTCGTGTGATCTCAACATTTATGACGCGGTTACAATAGCTTGTACAATTTAACAAGATATCAGACAGACCGATCGATTTGCATCCGTGAATCATGCAAAAAGTTATAACAATGAACTCATTTGGGGTTTTGGGTAGGTATGTGCCGTCTAGGACTCGAAAAAATAAACAGGCTGAAAAAAAGAATGTGAATTCCGCATCGGCTCCCTAGAAATTCAAATTTGGTCGCTATGTGTGAGACTCTTTTTAATTGGCTCGAACTGCACAAGCGCACCAAGCAAAATATACACATCCGTGTACGCGTGTACGCGATCATAACCATACTCGTCCCCAGTGCACCTCGGACGACATAACCATACTCGTCCCCAGTGCACCTCGGACGACATAACCATACTCGTCCCCAGTGCACCTTGGACGACCGAGTTGCACTGGGGACTGGTATCGATCATAACATGACTGATTCCGTGATTTCAGAAAATGTTGACAATGTTGTCCAGTTGATGTATGACGCCGCTTTATTACGAATAGGCCACGCCAATAATGCTACAATAGCTCTGGTTTCATTGGTCGAGTTCGATTTAATTTTTCCTATGGTCACATGATAAATGGACATTGAAGGGGTCCACTGTACGTGGTCAACTATAAGAAAAGGCTTTTGGGTAATATTTTAGCTTACCTATATGGCGAACACCGTTTTATTTTTAGTTTGTTTGAGGCACCTGTGTTATTACCTGTCAAGGAATAATTGCCAAAAAAAGACAAAAGAACAACAATAAAAGGGAATAAAACGGTAAAAGACGACCAAAGATGAATAAAGAAACAAAGAAAGAAAATAAATAAGTAAAGAATCCAAGTAAACATCCTTTAATTTGCTTTAATCTTTCCATGACGATGAGCTGTTCATACTAAATATTTATATCAAATACTTCCGTGGTTGGAATTAATATCAGGGTGACCTACCGCGGGTCCTCGTCTGAGGTTTTCATTACGGTGTCTGTTTACAGTATCAGATTCTCTTCCTTCTCCTGACTAAAACAGACTGGGAAAACCTTATCAATCCTTCCCATGCATGGTCGCTATGTTGCTACAAAACACAACTTGTTTATTCACATTATCGAATTTTTCAGTTACTCACAAGATTGCTTTCCAAGCGTTCAGTTCGACATGTCTGAAGCGCAGCTGAAGGTGTATTAAGCTTTAAATTTCCTGGATTCAAGGTTTTCCTGGAGCTCTGTAAAGATATTACAAAGATAGCTTATTAGGGCCACTCATCGGACAGTTTTTTTCGGTGATAACCAATTCGAATTGAATTCGCAGAAAATCTAGGACCAAAATGGCGAACCTTTTGTTACAGATCAGTTTTCTTCTGACGCCATGTACGCTGGTTTCTTCTGACATCTACAAGTCAGTTATGTGGACCACAAATAATCCTTAGTAAGTATCGATGAAATCGTTATGAACTCATGCAAACAGTAGATATCTAGYTTTGTCCCAGAGGCTTGCCTTATATTCCATTTATTGTTTTTGTTTTCGAACCGAGAAGCAATCAGACGTCCGTTAGAAAAAAAAGTAAATATCACTGCTTCGCGGCTTTCGAAAATAAAAATAATACAAGGAATAGAAGGCAGTTCTCTGAAATCTGCTTGTTAATCAGCCAAGTAACAACGATCGAGAGAGTATGCTTTTTATTTGCATTTTCTGAGTTAATTACTTGCCTAAGCTATAGGTTTTTTTTTGGGGGGGGGGGAGAGGTAGATTACACAATGTTAACTAAAACCGGTTATTACATGATATATAAAATATGAGCGGGATACCTTTATGTTATATATAAGATATGAGCGGGAAACCATTCTGTGCATAACTGCGAGCTACAAACAAGCACATTTAAAGCGAATATTTTATAGTGCTTATCAAATTCCAACATAAGCTAATTTATAATTTATTAAAAAATTCAAGATATCATTTTTAAACGTTAGATGCGTATGCAAATCAGGACAAATCTTTTGGCGGTCAYAGCAATGATTTTCCATTGCGTTTAACTATTATTGATGATTTGATAAACTTTATAACCAAAGCGTGGACCTTTTGTACCCGTGGGAGGCGCCGGTCACGCTTTTCGTTTCTACTTCTAAATTATCATTATGGKCTTTAGGGCCTGTTCACACTACGACATAAGCACATGGCATATCGAACAAAAGAAAAGACAAAGAAATGAAGTCATCAAGCATACATCGATATAAGCATAGCAAGCAACATAAGGCAGAGCATAAGCTATACGACAAAGGAATAAACAGAGAAAAACACCTTTGTTTTGGTCTTCTTAATCCTTAAAGTGCACATGACTTAGAAAAACACTTTTATCCGAAAGGTAACACGCTGCCAAGTACTTCTGCGAAGAAAGAAATAGATTTTGAATTGTATTTTCTGAGTTATATTGAAAATTGAAAATGCAAATGAAGTGACGTCAACTAAGGAATTGATCCAGACTTTTTACATTGTTTGCGCTATGCTGTTCTTGGTTGAAGAGCTCAAATCATCAATCATAATAATAATTGAGAGCTGAAAATGCGTTTTCCAATGTAACAAAAAGAATAACGTTCTCTTTCATGATTTTGTATATTAAATCATTCCTTAGTAGACGTCACTTCATTTGCATTTTCTAAGTTTCAATCGCCCATAACTTAGAAAATACAATTTAAAATCAATTTCTTTCTTCACAGATGAACTTAGCAGCATTTTCTCTTTTGGATGAGAATGAATTTCTAATGGTTTGATGTGCACTTTAAACCCTTGTTTATGGAGCTTGTGCTTGTGATGYAGTGTGAACTRGCCCTTAAGGAKGCTCATTCMCTAAAGGAGGCACCGTCCCCCCAGGCCACGCCCTTTTTCTAACCATGTTTTTACAAAATTGCATCAGTTTTCAGAATCATAACAAAACAGGAAACAGTCTTAAAAGTTTCTGCTATGGAGGAGAGCTGGAGATGAGCGTGAAATTAAAAGATGTGCTGCCAATTATTTGTCCCTTTGAAAACCTTATCATGCAAACCATGGAAAGTCAACCATCTTCAGGAGTACTGTATGAAAACCTCTGGATTGTTTATGACAAGGAAAGCTATAAAACATGTAACATCAATTTAAATGCAACATTTGGTGGAGGAAGAGAAAAGTTGAAGAACAAGTTGTTGTATAAATGCGATAGTCCAGATTCATTGTCAAATTATTTCTATCGCATTGACTTCAAAGAAGACAGTCCTGTCTCCAAAAATTTTTATTTTGAGCCAAATGAAACATATTACTTTTTGGGTAAGCTCGTCAAAGTTATATATGAGCTGTTTTAATRAGACTGTCCTTTCAATAGCGGATTTCAAATGAATTTTAATTTTGTTTTATCTAAAGCCACATCGGATGGAGGTAAAAGCTCACTTGACAAGACAAGTGGAGGCCACTGTAACAATGATGGTGATAATGAGATACGCATGAAGTTCAGAGTCCATGTCTGTGGAACACATGGTGCGATGTCTGTGATTATGTACTTATTGACTGAGCCCAGGTGGGCCGTAAGGGAAGATATTTGGTTCGATGTCACCTGGTCACTGCCACTAATTAAATAACCGATTTCATTCAAATATATTCTCGTACGTCGCGACCTTACTCAGTCAATAAAAAAAGGCATGCAAATAATATCTTATACAATGTTTGACGTACTTTTAAATTTCAGAACATTATACGGACCCACAATGTGCAGATTCTTCCACTATTGGAACATTTAGATGCATAAGACACRAGTCTCCAAGTTCACTCCCAGCTACCACAGCATCGCCCCCAGCTACCACAGCTTCGCTCAAAGCTACCATAACTTCACTCCCAGCTACCACAGCTTCGCTCCCAGCTACCACAGCTTCGCTCAAAGCTACCATAACTTCACTCCCAGCTACCACAGCTTCGCTCCGAGCTACCACAGCTTCGCTCAAAGCTACCACAACTTCACTCCCAGCTTCAAGTTCTACAGGGTTCGTAATGCTTGTAGCAGAATTTTCCCGTTTTCATCTTGTGCTGGTCGAGCATCGGTAGTACAAATCCGAGGGTCGTGGGTTCGAATCCCAGCGATGTCGGAAATTAATTTTTCCAAAATTATTTCCAAGGGCCTTTCTCCCGGAATAATCTCCTTCTTATCACTATAACGTCCCTTAATTTTTATATCACGAATATTTTTCAATGATTTGTGATTAACTTACGGGTTTTCCATATCAGGAATATTTTTCACAGACTTTTTTTATCTTGCAGAAGTGCAARCACTGTATYCCCCCCTGAGCTCCGTAGCCAAGGATCCTCACAAAGGTGTTCCTGCTCATCAGGTATGCATAGGAATTAAACGAACAGTCAACCATTATATGCTTTGCTTCTGACATAAAACAGTAATCGTTCTTAAGTGCAACTCTTGACTAGAACTAGATTCTTCATTACATGAAGTGACAGCGACCACTAGCGTAGGGAGTTGGGCATGTGCCACCCCCTCCCCCTCCCCTCCCCCAACGATTTTCCAAATTTAATAAATGTATGAATGAAAAGTTTAAATATATTTTTAAACCTTTTTGWGGTCATCCTCCCCCTCCCTCTCCCCTCCCCCAAAGAATAAATTTTTGCTACTGGCAGTAGTGACAATAAATCTTAAAACTATTGATTATATTCTTCAACAATGTACATATTTACCATGCACTTTGATTATTCTTAATTCATTATACTAATCAATTTTTTTTTTTCTTGTAGACTGGGTTATAGTTGGAATTTTTTTCATCATATTATTTGTATTTATTGTCCTGCTCGCTGTATATTATTTCTACAAGTAAGTATTGCTATGAATGCAGGTTTTCAATCATTTCTATCATTTGTATTCTATTTGATTGGCGACCATTTTTGTAGTACACAAATATATCATTAATAATGTGAACAAGTGTGAGGCATCTTCAGTCTGTAAATGCCACCAYCTTAAGCTATTATCAACTGCAAACTAACAATAAATGTTACATTTTACTCTCTTGACCATGTGTATCACATAGCCAAGTGGTCTGGCACTTTCTTGCTTTTTTAGTCATTATCCTAAATTTTAGTGGTTATTGTCTTTGTTAAAACACCCTAAAAGATCGCCTGATTTTTAGCCCTAAAAATATGACTATCATCCCCCCCCCCCTGAATTTTAATTTGGATTGGTAAAAAGTTTATATTAACTGGCTATTACTTTTTTTCTAAATTTTCTTTACAGGCATATGTCGAGTAATTCTTCTACTCATCCCATCCCATCACCAGAYCTGTAGTGTGCACCAATAGGACTCAATGAAGATACAAATCATGTGAAAGCAAACCTTTGTACACTCCCCGGGTACACTTAAAGGTCCTTAAACCCAGWTTTCTTTACTGAAGTATTGACTAGAAAAGACTGAGTGGGAACCAGCTTAATATTATCTTCACTGAATGCAATTTGTAAATGCTGATCACTATATTTGACAAGCTGTCATGTTTGTGTCATGGTCACAATGTGATTGAACCGACGCAATGATGTAAATATTAAGTGAACATACTACGTAGTATGCGATGTACAATTTTATATATGAACTGGGAAAAACTGCTTCTGCTTAACTTATCTCAAAAAAAAATATAAGTGTAAAAACCAGCACAACAACTGCTATATTTTGTGGTGGGAACTAGCGATAAACTASTGTGAGCTGCATACTTTTTTACGGTGTTAAACTTATCTTCTTTACTCAACTGCTATATTTTGTGCAGTAGCAAAATACACTATAGTTTTTTAATAATATAAAAATTTGCAAACTTACCTCTTCAATATACTACTTTTAGTCTTTTGATAATCCTTGTTAAAATTGTATAAAAATAAAAAAAAACAGCTTGTTCATTGTTTTGGTCCAAAATACCATTTATTCATTTAAAATGCCATGCGGGATTCCTTTGTTACCAATGTCACCAAGCCTTATTAAAAGTGGCCTGGTTTCCAAGCAATCTTCCATGTGCTCCGAAGATCAGTGTTCATTTAACAGCAATTGTTTTGAAAAAATCAAGTTATTTCCTTGGTAATTAACGCACCGATCTTCTTAATTTAAATACCATGAGTTTCCGCGGTCGAGGCCGTGGTGGTGGAGGTAGAGGGGGCCGTGGAGGTGGTCGAGGAAGAGGTGGAGGACGAGGAGGCTTCGTTCAACAGGGACCACCGGAGTCAGTAGTAGGTCAGTTGAAAACCATTTTTTTTACTGCTTGTGATTGGTTTTCATTGAAAAAGACAATTCTAAGTTGAACAAGTTGAACATTTATGATGATAAACCATTATAGAACATAAATATATATATGTAAACAACCAAAATATGTACGCTTTCAAGTCACCATTTCTATTGTTGTGATTGCAAAACACATCTTGACCCAGAGGATACCATCGAGAGTTCAACTCCGTATTGGAGTGGCTGGAGTGGCTACAGGCTACAGGTGTATCAGATAACGCAGGCCTTGGTCCTGATAATTCTTTGGACTAACAATATCACTGTCAATCAGTTTTTCTAGGTAGTCTCCCCCTCCACCCTAAGCTTATACTGTCCCTTCCTAATGTTGATAACGTAAATATGATTGCAATACATCATGCCTGGTTATCCAATATGTAATTTCTAATGTTATTCTTAACACCATTTCAGAGTTAGGTCAAGTTAAACATCAATGCGAAGAAGACCTTGTGTGCAAGTGCACCAATGAAAAGATACCGTACTTCAATGCTCCAATCTACTTGGAGAACAAATCACAGATTGGAAAAGTTGACGATATATTTGGACCAATCAATGAATTTGTATCCTTAACAGAGCAGGAATTATGAGAGGTGTTTTGATTTGAATTTAAACTAAGTAGAAGTAATTCAAAGTATTAGTTGCACACAGCTATATTATGTTGTCCTTGGTATTTTTATCTCAACTTTGGAATTAATTTTGTTAAGTAATGGTTTTTGTTTTTTGTTTATCAATTCTTTGACTAATAACAAAGTTCTTTTCGGTGAAGATGTCAGAAAATATGAAAGCTTCTTCATTTAAAAAGGGACAAAAGGTTTGTAAATAGTTATAGTATTCATTGTGTTATTACATTGATTGATTTTAGTGACATTTGACTATTTGTATTGCCATTTTTCAATCATTTTATCAAAATCTTTAATAAAAACACTTCATTTATTTACTTTTTTGCTCTCTTTGACACTTGATATGATAATAAAGCACTTATTTACTGGAAACCGTATGTTTTTCGATCCCTCGACCGCTGATGTTTCCCTCAGCATCGCCAGGAAACATCAGTGGTCTCGGGACCACAAAACATACTGTTTCCCTCAGTTCCAGTAAATAAGTGTTAACTGTTAAATGCTTATTTTTGTTTCAGTTTTTTATTGATCCATACAAACTTCTTCCACTCCAAAGATTNAATCTTTGGTGTTGCTGTTTGACCCAGTCTGCATCTAGAATGATATTTACCTAAATTATCTGTCATTTTTCAAGGCTATTTGTTTATTCGATTCACTTGTATATAAGGCATTTCACAGTCGTATTTCTAAAGAAACCGCTGTTCCCAAAATTTGGAGGTCCAGTTGATAATAATTATTATCATTATAACCATTGCTAAATGAATTTGTTTTTAAGGTGCCTCTGGTGGTGTCCAGAAACGTGGAGGAGGAAGGGGTGGTGGAAGGGGCGGAGGGAGAGGAGGTGGAAGAGGAGGTTTTAGAGGTGGAGGTTTTAGAGGTGGAGGAAGAGGACGAGGTGGCAGAGGAGGAGGTAAAGCAAGTTAAATATATTTCTTTTTCATGATTYCATGATTTTRATACTTTACTGTGTAATTTTCAAGGAGGAGGTTTTCGTGGTGGCGGAAGAGGTGGTGGTGGTTTTAGAGGTAAATAACTACTACTAAAGTATTTGATGTTAATAATAAATTTAACTATTTCACTGAAATTTTGAAATATAGACTATTAACCTTACTCACATGCAATCATGATCTCATGTAATCTATCCAAAAAAATAGACCTTCTACTCACATAAACATRCTCCAACCACTAAAAACCTTGCACCATACATTCCTAGTTCATGCCCATTGGAGAGCRTTATATCTTTTTTTAGGGGCAGATGCAGGAGGAATTGAGATTAACTACAAATTTGCACCTTGATTTAACAAATTTTCTCTTGAAATGAAAAATTGATTCAGTWTATTTTCATTACAGGACGTGGAAGATAAAGACATCTTTTACAAAGTTCATTCTTAGATCAAATTCAGTGTACATGAAATATAAAAGTCACTTCAACGTCCAGTCAGCTTTCTTCAAATGCAAGTGGTCAATACATTCTTGTAAAATATTTAATGTATTATCTTTTACGTRTGAAGTCTGGCTATGTCACCTCTCACAAAATATAGTGAATGATGTTCTTTGCAATATTTTATTACATCCAGAATTCTTGCCTTGCATTTCAGAAATTGATAATCTTGTACAGAACAAAGTGTATTGATTTGACCAAAATATGAATTTGACATTTGATGACAAAGATGGATTTCTTCTGTCTTCTCAAATACACTGAACCAGCAACACATTTTATTTTTGTTTCAGTAAACTTTCCCAACAATACCCTGCCAACAGAGTGTTATTTACCTTACCTCAGAAAAAACTTCGCAAAGAAATTCCTTCATGAATTTTTTACCGAGGTAAGGTAAATAACACTCYGTTCRCAGGGTATCCCAGCAAATAATCGATAAAATTTACTTGGATAATTCAGTTAAAATGTGGCATTGTTCAAATTAAGTTTCATATTTTTAACAAAGAAATAAAAAAGATTAATGTTGCATTGTTGTTCTTTGTGTCCAGGTCTTAGTTATCAGTCTCYKCATAAACGTTTCTCATTTTCTTTGTTTATTGCAAGTTTGTTGACTTTTCCTGTGTGGTCTTGTCAACTTGAAATGAGGACATTTTTCTTATTTTCTCTCCCAGAACTCTTTCTTTGTATCTCTCCTGTTATTTCTATCTAGCGCTCTTGCTTCGTGATGTATGTGCTTGTTCTGTAAGTCGAACCACTGATGCAAAGGTTCTGGTTTTGGTGGTATGATATATCGATATCGTAGGGTTTTTGAGGTTGTTTGRCAAGGGCCCTGCCGGGTTGCTGACGCRCGTGTTCCCGCGCGAGACTCGAGCTCGYCTCCTCGTGACTCGAGATTTCTGGTATTCTCTAAAGCTTTCTGTTGAGAAGAGAAATCGTTATAACACTTTMTATTTATAAAGGAAAACTAAAACAAAAATTCATAAAGTCCTTAAACGTTTATAAAGGTCAAATTTTAGGAAAAGCGTGGCTGTAAAAACACGCTCAGATTTTCATAACAAATATTTAAAGGTCAAATTTTTAAGAAAAGCGTGTCTATAAACACGTAAATGCTATACCTTCAAAACTGTTTTCATTCGTAATATGGAGAGGGAGTAATTGAATTTAAGTAAGGTTTAACTTAATTAGCACAACATTTAATTGAGCTAAAAGTCTTTGTAATGTAAATATTAGATTATACATGTTGACACAACATTCCCCAATAGAAAGTCAACAAGCAAGATTGTAAGTACAGAGAACAGTTGTGAATAAAGTCAAACATAGTTTATATACATTCTAAACGAAACTGACCTGCTTTCTCTCTAAGTTTTCTAATGCATCGTGCTTCCTTTCGATAATTCTCTGTTTTCTAAGCGCTTCCATATGATAGGGAAAGCCAGCCATTATGAAATGCTTCAAACTCGAGATGRTTTGCTAGTTTTGATTTCCAAGAACTAGTTGTATCTAGTTGAACTAACAAAGAGCAATCCCTTTGTATATAAATTTTGCAAACTGTGAGATGGCATTCAAAGCTTTTTATCTAAGTTTGACCTTTATGTTACCATGGTAACCTATGAGCTCCTATATTGTACTCTAATGGTGTTAACTTTCATTGTTCGTCGGGATACAATGGTTTCGGGGGGGGGGGGGGGATTCGTAGGTCTCTTTACTTTAAAAGACAAGGCCCGTAATGTTAGCAAATGAGCTCGAGGACCTTGTCAATTAATTAGACTTTGCTTCATACACCGTGAAAAATTTCGTAAAGTAACAAAAAGCAGTCACTACAGTGATTTCCATTGGCTGATTTGGCTGGATTTGTTGAATAGTGTAACACAGTGTATAAAGTTCTTTAAAATGCCCGATATCTATCAATTATTACTGGTTATGGTTAGTAATTATTTCACGGTGTCGATGGAAATATCTTTATTGTTTTTTCGGATTTATGGACCATTCTCAACACATGAGAGTTTAGGCAAAACGAAGAACAATTGTAAACGTAGAGATTTTTTTTAACATATGTTTATTCAGACTGAAAATGTGCTATGATATAATGCGACTCGTGGAATATGTAAGCAATATATAATATATAAATGGTTAGAAACTCAACTATAGATATCGCGTGGAATTTTGAAGAGTCAGTATGTTTGGGAAGGCATGAGAATAACATGATTTGCGCAACAGAGACTGAAGCATCAGTAAGTAGGACATTGGACTCCTTTCGTTCTCCTTTTTATTTTGTGAAAAAATAACAGCTGAGAATACAGTCACACGGGGTTCTTCTTCTTTGTCCATCGGGGGAGTAAAAGTCCGGGTGTGAACCCATACTTGACATTTAAAGCCTTCTCTATAAAACAATGATTCTTATTGATGGATAACATCTACTTTTCGTAAAGGCAAAGGTACAAGATTCGGATCATGTCGTATGTGAAATCGTTTATTAAGCCATCTGTTTTGATATTCATCAGGTCTTGAAAATACTCGCTGYTCTAATACTGGTTGACCAAGTCGCTGATACTGTCCTATCACCGGTGCTGACTGTGGTGGCCTGGTACCGCTTTGTGTTTGTTCACGTGACTGATGACGTGATGAGCACGTGTCTGGTCTATTCCCAGAAGACGTTTGTTGTCTCTTTTCGGTATTATTATCCTAGACGAACAACACAAAAAAATTACATCGGTTGCCTTTTTAAAAGGTGGTTCTCTTAAGATGTGTGCTAAGTGTTTGTTGTCTGAAGAGAAATTATCATTTGCTTATTTGTTTGGTACAGCTAAACTTCTGCTGCAAACTTGGTTAGCACTAACTATGCTTCAAATAACCAAAACACGCGGCAGTTTCCTGCATACGTCTCTTGTTCATTTTTAAGAAGTTTCCCGCCTAAAAAATATCGATTTTTTCTGACTCATCTGGTCACTCAATAAAGAATATCCAACKTTTTTGCTTTCCAGCACCAAAACAAAGAAAATATCCACCAGAACTTAACTTAATTAGTTGTCAAGGTTTTTGCGAATAAATATGACTCATGGCTAAGGTGCTTACGAATGGCAGCGCGCGTTTTCGGATTTCTGCGCTCACGAGAAAATGATTGCAACACCATAAAAAGTAAATACTTATGCTGAACTGTCTTACCTTTTGTTTTGTTGCAATCTTTTCGAGAGCTTGTTTCTTCTTGTCAATCGTCCTTTGTTGTCTTTGAGCTTCAAGATGGAATCCCATATGATACATKTTTAAGAATTTTAGCTGTTTTCTTTGACTATACTTCAGTGCTATTCTCATAAACACGGCCTTCTAAGTCAGTTCTATGAAGGAGAAATGTACTGATTGTCTGCAGTTGATAATACGTACGGGTYTACAATCTTAAAAGCCTTAAAAGTTCCAGGAAAATAKACGAACTCAAAAAGAAAAGAGGTCTTCCTGCCGACAATACACCAAGCTGTCACTGAGGGGCTTTGTGCGCTTTYGAACGGCTTTTATTTCGTGTRTCAAATGGTTGCTATGTGATTAACCGAACCTTTCAAGCAATTACATCTGATGTATTGTGTAATGTGATAAAGATGTGATTGAGCCGTAATGTCAACAAAAAYAGTAAACAAACTGTCAACAAATAAAGGTACATCTTGGTACTAGTTTTTGTGGTAAGCGCAAACTCCTATTTCTTTTGTATAGTTGAGAAAAAAGGCAATATTGGACAAAACTGCGTTGGTGCAGACTATAGACGGTATGCAGTCCTACATGCACAGCAGCTGAAGAGGTTTAAAACCAATTTGAATGGACAGGATTTAGCTCTTTTTTATATGTGAGTTCAGTAAAACTAAAGGATTATACAGCACAATRACTATTGTTTACTAAGTTGTTAAGTTCCACCAGTTAAACAGAGAAGCAAGTTTTGCATGCTGTGAGAAGGAACTCCCTCGGGAACAAGGACTTCATTTACACTCAAATGTGCAAATGTACTTCAATTAGTATTGTGTTTCTCTCTATAAAACAAGCCAAACTGTAAACACACTTTTTACTGTGCAAAACGAGAAAGATGCCTCACATCTCCTTTCACTTGGAGGCGCAAAGACAGCAACGTGTCATCGACAAGAAACACGCGGCTTTAGCAAGACTTGCCCTGAAGCAGGTAAGAAGCTCTGAATGCATGGGGCAGATTGATATCACTAAAACATCCATTAACAAGAACGCAAAAAATTTAGAATTAAAATATAGAGGATATTTAACTAAAAAGGAAGGCTTAAAAGTCGCAGCTGGGCTACAAATATTGGGTTTGGTGCTACAATCAGTTGTAGAGTTACTCCTGGATGAAGATCGACCAGCCGTAACTTCTGATGAATTTCAAGCAGCACTTCAAAAAATGTAGCAATTTTAAGCATATTTGAACATTTTTAAAGAATTTTTAACTGGAAAATAAATCACCATGGTTCGGTTTAACATTTTTGCGCAAAGTGAGCAGGAAAATCTAGTTTTGTTGAAGTATTTTATACCGAAACACCTGAACTAYCTAAATTAAGTCGAAGCGAAAGAGATTTATCAAAAATCTTTATGCTTTTTTGATTTTGGTATTCCTGAAGTATAAGAAACTAGAGACTAAAAGCTTTGGTTTCTATGGAAACTCCTTTACTTGGTTTTGGAATCCCTGTGTAATTTAGAGTCARAGGAAAACCATTACCCAGAGATCACTAGGGCCGTCGTACATAGATACCATCGCGTCGMAGCATTGACTCACATTCCAAACTTTTTCAACTATTACCTGTTTAAAGAAAGCATTTCTAAGACCATGGCTTTTGCATATCATATGGAGGCTTTAAGGAAACAGAGAGTAATGGATAGAAGACACWCAGCTTTAGCGAGAATCGCGATTTTACAGGTAGACGATGAGMACCGGTTCYATGTTTACACTTACTTGGCTTTGGTTTGTTGTGCATTATTTSCATATTTTGGTAAAAAGACATAATAATTTGTGAAATACTTTTCATTGAGACTCCTGCTTACATGAATAAGAGTTTGAAGTGATAATGGACTTGTTCTTGGTGCAGTATTTACAAGTTTACGATGTAATAAGCTCAATCATATGCATGAGTTACGAAATAAGTTTGTATTAATTATACTATACTTCAAACACACTTATTACTCTATAGATATTTATAATGTTTATTTCCACTAGTAAATTCAGAGAAAATAACTAAAGGTATAACTGTATTTATTAATTCTTTTATTTTGGACAATATCGATCATAATTTGTATGACACATCCAGTCTCAAGTTACACATGCGCCAGGGGGGAATTCGATGTAAAATTCTGTGCTTTCTATCCTTTTTTCGTTTGTTGATCGTATCGCGCGAAATATTATCCATTAGTTTTTTTTATTCTGACTTTTTGTTTGGTATACTTGGGGTTTAAAAATTATTATACAACACGTGTAGTCATGCCAACTACGCTTTTAATAGACGACTCAATGAATAAGTAATAAAGAAATACAAATAAATTTGACAATATTATTCAGAGTGCTAGCTTAAAACAGGTGATAGCTTGTGTTTACATGAGAAATCTTTTTTCAGGCTGAAGAAGAGAGAATCAAAAAGGAGCAAGAAGAACGAACCAAACGCATCCGACAGGAACAAGAGATCATGAAGTCAAAAGAAAGAGATCAATATCTGAAGAGTATGGGACGCACTAGCAAAACAAAGCAAGGAGTAATAAATGCTAATTATACAAATATGCTTGAAGACCAAAAGAAGTGGATAGCACAAAAAGATCTGAAACACCAGGAAAAGGTTTTGCGAGACCACTGTCTTGTCATGGGTCATGTGAATGAGTATTTCCTGTCTTAAAACAAAACTATAAAAAGACACATTGAAATGATGTTTTGAAATACAGAATACCAATGGAGAAGGTTTTCTGGCTTTACAATGTTATCACTGGTGAATGAATGAAAGATCATTTTGCAACTAAGTTTTTTATTGTATAGTACGTCAGGTTTTATATGATTACAAGTCAAAAATATGCCTCCATATCTTTAATATATATAATTAAACGTTTTGTTGGTTTTGTGTATGAATAACATAAAATAAAGTTTGTAAAAATAAAAGATTAAATTCCAAATTATACTAACAATGTCAATGGCGTATCAACTTTTGGGAAGTGGGAAGTTTCAATATCATGAAACTTGCATCGGACTTCAGGGTATTCATTCTTACAAATATAAGAAAATTTCATGATATTAGTTAATGATACTATATTAACTATGCATGTTCTTGGTAGGAAAGATAGCTTAATACAGTCTTTGTGCAGGAAGAACTGCGACGAGGCCATCAGATTACAAACTTGCAGATGTGAAAGCAAGCAATCAATGGTGAAATGCATGTGCACTTGCATAGCAAAACTATTAAATCAACTAAATAGTATATCAGCAGATTACACAGCAGGTTACACAAAACAGTTCTGAGAATATCCCAGAAGTGCGCAGAAAACACTTCTGGTGCACGTCTTTCTGACCAAAGGCCAGACATTATGCAAACACTATGTGTTGAAAACTTACACTTCAATGCTGATTTACTCAATATGAGTTTTTCATTCGTGACCTTCCATATATGGTTATCCCCTTGGGAAATTACGGCGCGAAATACACACGCGTCGCCATGGTGAAATGAAACTACATTCCGGTGTATATTATAATGACGGAAAGGCCGATTTCAAGGCGAAATAAGCATGGTTTTCTTTCAGACATATCTACCTCTCAAGATGAAGGATTCATAGAAATTACTCTTATTTACAATAACAATGATTATACTGTTAAACTTCCACAAGGAGCTGACAGAATGACGATTTGTAGTGAAATCAAAAGGCAAACTGGAGTCAAAGGAGCTTTTTATTTGTTCGATGGCGGCAAGTTTTACCTCCACTCATCGAGTTTAACGTTGTCCAATATCAACAAAGTGTTGGCTGGAAAACTTGAAGTGCGAGGTGGCGATTGTAAGTCTAGTAGAATAGTTGGTTTATACATAAGTTATACTTAACTTAATTGTATAAACGCAGCTTATGCGCTCCGCATAAGCTGCATCAAACCATAGTTTTAACTATTAAAATAGAGAGGACTACAAACTGAACACGCGAGAGCCACGCGTAAGTTTTGGTTTGGCAGAAAAACAATTTAAAAGAAATGAGGAATCTTCTTCTTTTTGCTTTTTTCGCCTACTTAGTGTGTCTTGACCGCTGGGACAGGGAGCCCGGCACTAAGAACGGCTGCGAGGAGATCAGTCTTGCCCTTGAGTAGAGCAAAAGCATAGTCAGAGTCACAATATTACATATTGGATCGGTCAGGGATCAACATAGCAGTGTCACGACTGCCGTTATGTCACACAAGATGATCGTCAACCAAACAAATATGGTCAGGACTCTCATTTGTAATAAAAGAGTTGACAAGCGATTTGCATCAGAAGCAAGACAGCTGTTGAACTTATAGTGAATATATGCTAAAGTATCATTGCAAGACTAGATGCTAGTGGAGAAGGTGGCCTGGGGAGGAGGACTGCAGGGACGGTTATATTCCTTTCTTGGAAACTAAATTTAAACTCTGAGCAGCCAATATTGTAACAGCCAATGCTGAGTCAAATCTTGATAATTGCTCTAATTTTTTCAGGGATGAACAAGGGTGGAGATTCTGTATGGTACTATTATAGCCAAACGCTAAGACCTGACGTGAAGCAACAACTAGAAAAGAGACAGTTTGTGCCAAGTGACCAGCCTCCTTAATATATTACTAACAACCATCAAATGCTTTATACTAATGGCTTGTTGAGAGTGACAGCTGAAGACTGGATAATACTGATGTAAGCTCTTGCAGTTTGTGGTCATGAATCAATTAATGTTAAGATAATGAAGAAGTGGAAGAGGGGGATCAAGAGGTCCAAGAGGGCAAGGCAATAGATTGTATCCATAAAACGTATCATATCAGTTTTACCGCTCCCACTATTAATCGCTATTGATTAGTCTGAAAATTCTGTTCTTATAAATTTTTATTAGTTTAGTTTATGACTTGTCTCATCGGGGCATCGCAAACAAACTAAATTACACTCTTTCCCCCCTCCTCCCCCGTGAATTTATTTATTTGTTATTCGTGAATAAAGAGTTGTCGGCAAATCGTGGTATGCTTTTCTTGAGAAGTTTTCAAATCTGGCACCGTTGATTTTTCAGTTTCAATTTAAGTTCTAGTTAATTTAAGGTGGTTCATTGATCTGAAAAATTGTCTCTAAATAGCTGCTATTTGTTAGTATTTAGTTTGATTTTATTTCATGGTTTTCCTGCGTTTGCTCTATTTATCAAAACGTAAATACACTTACATTCATCTACTCATATATTGTCCACCTATTTTCATCCATTTATCTTTTCCCATGTTGCCTCATTTATCCCTTAATTGGAAAAAGCTCATAATTAAGTTTCAACAATAATAGTTTACACCCTGTGATATAATATACGATCAGTCCCCTATTATAAGTTGATGTCGGAAGACTATCTGAGCGGTCTTTTAGCTTGAAATGGCAATATAATTTACCTTTTTGACTTTCACCAGATCCCAAATTTCAGTTATCTCAGGTATAAGTAGAACCAACTTTAGATCTAGCTTGTACACTTAGGTATTTTATACCTTTTGGTAGCATTTCTCGTCAAACCAGTTCTTACTGGTTACTTAGTCTAATAATAGTGACCGATTTTTCAGCCATTTGATTGGCAACCGAGGGTGAGTGGAATACTGAGGAAAGTCTTTTTTAACTTACAAGTGACAATTTCTCTTCAACTCTCCCCGATCAAGTAAGGCTCCCCAACTTGACGGTTTTAGACATTTGACTGGTAACTGAGGAMACTGAAAAATGCAGGGGAATTTTATCATTCAACATGGTTTTCGGTTACCACAAAATAATATCTGTCTTCCCGATTAGAATGGGTCAGTACTTCTGGTATAAAACCCTAAACTGATTGCTTGTTTCCGTTTTAGTATTTGTTATGATTGCTTACCCCTGTACCCGTTATAAGTTAACTAAATTCGCCTTTGATTAATAAATTGATGACGCGGGAGATACACCTAATTACAGAAACGTTGTCCAGAAAAAGAACTTTTGCTATTAGGAATTGATTAAATTACAAACGAAACTGTTCAGTTTCACTAGTGGATTTTGTTTTTTAATGCAWTCCTAATTTTCTAAATCTCTAGATCTAAGGACAACGTTTTTGTAAAGGTGTATCCTTTCAGAAGAAATGGTAACACCAATACCGTGGTCTCGTTGTCTGGGGTAACGAGAATGGTAAGAGGTTGATGACGCGGGTCTCAAGTACATCAGTGGGAGTGGATCCTGTCGTGACGATCAGCTGATCACTGGCTCACACGTATCTCAAAATTTCAAGCTACAAAACCAATATATACTTTAACAAACGAAGCAAAATCAATCCCTCAATTGTGTAAATAATCCCTCAATACATAGTCTAGACCAATAAACTAAAACAAAACACAGCACATTTCAAGTGTTCTTTTACTCTAACTCCATAAGCACATAACTTAGACCTTTTACTAAAACAAGATAAATTACAAATATAAGTAAACTAAAGAATATGAATACATATGTTTGATGTTTCTGCACATAAATGTGCGTATAAACTTGATAAAATGTTGTGTTTACTGCACATGCGTCGGTAAACAATGTATTGGTAGCTATARTAACAAKGGTTATATCTTAAATCCTACTACCATCAAAAATTCACCGCGGAGGGATGGGTAAGTTGAAATTATGACAGACATGATATTGAATAAAACTCGCATATGTTAGAATTGTTGCCTTTGCTTGAAAGGGAATTACACCATTGCATCGTCAAAACAAGACTGCTSGGTGAGGATACCTTTCAAGATGGGGAATGGAATTACTGTGAATAATTGATCAACCAAGCATTAATAAATCACCACTCAATAGCCGACTTGCGAATTACGCATCAATAGTCACATACAAAGGAATCAAGACGAGGCGCCGTGCTAAAGACAATAGATTTTTCACAAAAAAGCACGGCGCCTCGTCTTGATTCCTTTGTATGTGACTATTGATGCGTAATTCGCAAGTCGGCTATTCAAAAACGTTCAACAATTCTTCTTGCTATTTTATAGTAGATAGACTGAATGTAAACACCACCCATTCTCAATAACAGGGTTATAGACAAAAATAGAAGACCCAACTTCCTGACAGAAGACTCTTAGTGCTTCCCCACACAAAAATGCAAGTAATGCATCTCTTTTAAAAATATTGCTGTTGATGAGGAGAATGTAAGCCATGTGTATAGTAACATGATTTTCTTTGTAAAGAATGCATAATATGCTATAGTTATGCTACKGTTTGTCAGGTTGATGCAAAGTTTGAGATCTTTCTTATCATTACATGTATAGACATTATAATTTGAATTATTTTTCTATTCCATTTGATCAGATTAATGGCAGAGTAATTTATATATATTTCTTTAGACAAAAACTATTTTGGACCTCTYGAATGAAGTTTAAATTTTCTTGATTTAAAACATTATATTGACTATGCAAGTATATCAGATGTAGCGCCATGCACAATGTATTCTAGCAATAAAAATGGATTGTCGTAAACGTAATAAAACCTTAACCTTTYGATAACAATATGCCCGGTTTTATTGGGATGAGTAAAGTTATCTWCCAAATAAATGTTATCCGCTGAATAATAGATTTTGTATTTTGGTTTTATTCCCTGGATAAGAATTTACTTGGTCAATATTTRCTATTCACCCAAAACACAACAAAACCAACCCAAATCCTCATAAAAATGTACTAGATAAGATTCAAAATAATATTAATAACATCTTGTTGTTCTGATTAAGAAARAATATTATACATGCCATATGTCTTTTGGTCAATTATTTCAAAAAAGTGAAGCTTACAACAACTGTACTCTTTGACAAGCTCTTTAGAAAGCATGACTGACCCTCAAAGTATTGTATCTGGTATGCTACAAACAGTTAGAGGTTAAATATGTAAATAAAYGTCTGCTACAGGGGCTACTGTCGTCTGGCTTGGCATTGTGAACATGAATAGATTGGGTATAAAAAATTCACTGTCCTAGTTCTTTTGTGTGTTGCTTTTCAAAGAGTGTGATAAAGAGCAACTTAAATCCATTTATTACAATAAGTTATAGTTACCTTTGATAAAATAATTGACCCACATGAAGATTATAGGGCATCTAACAAGCACCAGACTACATATGATATTATAGTAAAATTACCTACTAATGAATGTTAAATGAACATGTACAATGAGCCGTTTTCATAGCTCAACTAAATTGTAATATTCCAATGTACAATATTAAGATATCTACAGAGTAAAATATGATTCTACTAGTTTCTCTACATGGTGAACATCATTAGTTCCCACAGCATCCCTGAAATACAAAACAACAATACATTAATAGTTTGTTATATTAACAACAGTAAATAGATTAAAAACATCATAGCAAACAAACGTGTACAGCTCAATGTTTTRTATTTGATTAGAAAATAACACAAACTAAAAAATGTCATTAATTATTTTGAAAGCAAAACAAATACTGTAGCTACTGTAACTTCTTGTGCAGTTGTTTTAAAAATAAAAGATAAGAAAAATTTAACTYCCAGACATTTTGTGTACACACTGTTCTTCAAGAATATGAATTACATTTGAGTTGCTGAAAACATGATCTGAAWATATATACAAAAACTGCACCTGGTGGAGCTTCCTGTTGAGACWTTCTAAATAAAAGTWATTCTACAACAATGCCAGATGAATGAAATAATGAAAGATGAAATGATATCATTTGCTATTTGGCAATGCCGTGTAATAATTAATCATCARCAAAAAGTTATAATTCACTTGATGCACTGAAAATTAATAAAATACCAAAAAATAATGCAAAAATCAAAATTGCATGCCAGAAGTGGATAATCTAATCTTAACTCAAACTAAACTCTAGACTACTTCATGTACATAAAATGAAAGCTACAGTATTTATGCTTCCTGYGGTGAAATTAACTTTTTGTATGGTAAAAACAGCAAACTATTGAGGACAAAATGTTTATTCTGTATCTATSTGTTCATAAATAATTGACTATAGTTTRATAACTTAACAGGGAAAACCTGCACTATATTTTCCTTAACTGTCTGACAACTTGAACTAATACTTTCTGCCCAAAGTGATGTTGAAGYGTCTCATAAGGTCTTCTGATGGTGAAGCATTACTTGTTGACTAGATACTAGCTAGTGCACATGTTTAAGTGCCAAGTTATCAAGAAGCAAAATGAGCATGTCAAGATAGCTTACAATTATTAGAATTCCCCCAGCTTCCCCAGTTCCAACAATTATAAGATTTAAGTATGAAATAGATTAGAACTTTATTCCTTCATAAAATCAAAGAAAAAAAAAAAAGATTAGCAATTATCAGGGAAAAAAAATCAACAATGACTTTGAGAAAAATTTACCTTTGGCCCCTACAWTTGTAAGTCCTCTTAAAACCGTTTCTTCCAAACACAATCAATCTGCAGCCAGCGAGAATAATAGATGCATAAATGATGAGATGATATGTCATGTGCTTACCCAACACCGTGCATTRACATGAAGCAASGTGCTYAGTACACAAGGTTTAACAGTGCATTAAAGACAAAGAAGTGGATATTGGCTTTCTACATTTATATACTGCTCAGCCTCTATTCTATTATAATGAGTTCACATGCTGATGTGTATGACTTAAAATAATATAAGAGGTTAACAGTGAGTTTCATTATCCTCAGACCACTGATGTTTCCACAGAGTGGTTAAGGAACATTAGCAGTCACGAGGGCATAAAACACATATTAACTGTCCCAAGACTCCAGTAAATATATCAAGTGCTTTATCATTATGCCAAGCATTTCAGTACATGATTTCCAGTCCACAACATATTGCCCTCAAGGAAACAGTCTAATATTTTCTTAGGTATCATAAACATACYGTTATACTATTTCATTGGAATGAATGTTGTAAATCGAGCAGTGTTGATGGCATGGTTTATGTAGGGCSTTAACAGATTTTTTATTTCAGTTTTCTTAAATCCAAGTTCTGGATGTTATTATGGTGATTATGCCAGTTCTTAGAGTTTATCAGCAGTACTGCATAAACATTTGCTTATACTATTACAATATCATGTACCAGTAGATACAAGTGGTGCAACAGAAAATATGTTGCTGACAATCTCTTTACTCTACAAGCTTTATGTTTATATTGAATCATTTTAGTTTTAATTAATTTGCTAAAATCATGCTCAACAAACAGGTTAAATGCACATGTCATGGTGATGGCATGCTAAAATTGGTAATAACACTACAGCAATTTTTTTCTTGGTATTGTGGTAATGTGTTAATATAATACCACAAATTTCCAGTATCATAATAGACATCTTTATACACTATGCAATCAACAAATTRTATACAACTATGCAATCAACTACAACATGTAGAGAATGGTTTTCATAAACTGGTAAAACAAAGTTTAATATCAAGAGTGTWATGTTGTGCGACTTACAGAAAAGACAAAGAAAACATGCAAAATAAAGTCGATTAATAAAGTATAGTATGCCAATCCAAGTATGTTTCACAGGTTAATGATAACCACCCAATARAACCACCATTAACATGCATAGCATTGTGAGTCATATATCGCACCTCTTTAGCCTTGTATTCTTCTGCTAGCTTTTGCCAATGTCTTCTGTTGTCACGACAACCATCTTTTAATGGGGCAAAACTCTTATCAAATTCAGCTAATGCCTAAAAGTGAAAAAAAAAAGAATATTATTTTAGAGCTGATTTCATATGAGACAATCTGTGATTGTAGATGTAATCTTTTCTCTCAATGCCATCTCAATACCATTTATGGACAGGATGTGTTGTTTCATTTCATTTAATTATGCTTGCCCAAATTAAATAAACAACAACAGCAAAATCAACAATTTTTAAAGATACCATGACAACAAATACAAAATGATGTTAGGGGCAGGGACACCGCAACAGTTTGAGCCAATTACTGCGGACCCAAGCTATACTTTAAAAAGAAAAACTAATAATAAATAATTGTCTCTACTTTTGCATAGTTATGACATGATTTAATACTTACTTTGTAGAGCGGCAAACAAACAGCATCTATAAAACCAACTTGCATTTGTGGYAACTCATCTTTCTTGCGTCGGTCCATTGTTGGTGGAGGAGTTGAATGGAGTTCTTTTTGCTCCAGATCACCTTGCTGGAAGAACTCCTCAGCAACTAGATGAGCAGTCTACCAAATAATGAATACAAACTGATTATCAAAATAATGATATCCAATTGATTATTCTTAAAACTCAATACAGGTGGGAATAGACTTGTTTCTAGGATAGACAACAATACAATAAACAATCAATTGACACTTCTATTAGAGGCTATTACCACCAGTACTGTACTTAAGAATAGTCAATTAAGTCCTCCTTCATGGAAAATGTTTGTTGATAAAGGAAAACTGAATTCAAGAGAAAGTYATCATGTTGTACATTACCCTTTTCTGGACTAGCCACGGCTTGGTAATGGCTGATAAATCACAAGCTGTCATTAACATTGCCCTGTTGACAGAAACCATCAGAGAATATTAGAATATCATCATATTATTAACTCATGGCTATGATAGAGATCCCTTATAATGACCTAGAATCTCTCAGAGCTTTTCATTCATAGTTGAAGCATAAGAGAGACAAAATAAATATTATATTTACCTTATCAAATCCCTGCAATTTTCATCTGTAAAGACAACACCTTTGGACTCTACTTTTTTAAAGAAGTCACCTCTTCTCCTGCAATAATGAACATGTTACTTTGAACAGGCGTGGAACACATTACTCTGATATACATACAATAAGAGTAATACAGAGTTATTATAAAAAATGGAAATTTAGACTTGAATTTGAATGCACAAAATTAAGCATTTCAATAACTATGTACTTTGACATACATGAGTTATGGATAACTGATCAGAAATGTTAGTCTACCTCAATAATCTAAAGCAAACACTTACTGGAAGTAAAGAGCAAGATCAGTTGCTATGATACTTGACTCCAGTACTTTGATGATGGTGTTATACTCTTCTGATGATAATGTAGCAAGDATGTCATTTCCCTGCAATAATAACATTAATAAGATAACAATCCAGTATTTTCTTGCTCTTAATCAGTAAGTAAAGGTGC